AATGAAGAGTCCCACACAGGGCTCAATCTCATCACCCTGAGATCATGACCTGAGCCGAAATCATGAGATTAACACTTAACTGAGCCACTCAGGTGCCCCTAAGACAGGTTCTTAACACTAAATGTAAACTAATGAGTCTTCATCTTACCATCTAAGTTCAGACATGGTGAACATGTTTTTTGAGTTACCTATAATGAAGAGTAAGAAACATATTAGAAAGTTGGTAAATAAGAAAATCCTTCTGAATAGATAGGCAAAGTTTGGTTGATTACAAGAACAAATGTCATGTAATTTTTTTTCTTAAGGCTTTCTTAAAAATAAGTCTACAATGTCATCTGTGGACTTACTCATTAGATATGAGTAGATTAGTTTCAGTTCTTTTACTTTATTAAAAAATAAATATCTATAGCAAATTATGGATGTTTTTACTAGTGAATTGAATCCATTTAGCAAGCATAATCTCACATTTTATGAAAAGTACTTTAGAATGGATTCCCCTAAAATAAGTGATCTTATTATAACCATACCTATATGTCTATAAGTAGAAACAAGTTTCACTTATCAAAATAATGGCACAGATCCACCAGATGTAAAAGGACCAAATAAAATATAAAATTAAGAATTTAATATTCTGTTTAGAATAAACTTCAACTTCATCAAGTCAAATGGCTCCTCTTTATCCGTAAATCCTCTTAAAAGATGGCTTACACATAACATAGGTGTTAAATACAGCCTATTCTTTTGGTTATTTACTTTTAGGGTTAGATATATTCATTGGCCTAAGAAGCCTTGACACCTTATTGGTTAGTGAAGAACAGAAATTTTAGAGGGATATTTTAGCCTAAGCCAAGGTTAGCATGCCTTGGCTTCTATTACTCAAAGAACTGCCAAATCTATTTGGGGATATGACCTGCCATTGTGTCATCACCTCACATCTGCTAGATGCTGACAATAACCCATTTTGGGGCTAATATCCTGACAAACAGCACTCTCTCATGATTTATTTTTGGCATGTTTGAAAGTATTCATGAACATTGCCAGGAAAATAAGTTATTCCTAAAGGAATTCCTAGAATTAAAATTAATTATTTCCTTGGTTATGATTATCATATACTGATAGAAAGTTATGAAGCAAGAAATTTTGTGGGCAAAATAAGCTCTTAATCAAATCAATTACATATTCATAAAGTATTAGCCATATTTTCATAATGTGCCCTTGAAATCATAAGAAAAGCTCAGAATTTTATAAGAAGCAAGGAATACATTCTCATGAATGTATTTTATGTAGAGTGTTTAATAATTATAAATAAAAAGTGACTCTTTGCTATTCTTTATTTAGACTCTGCATGAGAAAGAGAGATTCTGCTGGAATTTTGCTAATTATGGATCCTGATATGACTAAAACCTGGTTCTTAGGGATCCCTGGGTGGCGCAGCGGTTTGGCGCCTGCCTTTGGCCCAGGGCGCGATCCTGGAGACCCGGGATCGAATCCCACGTCGGGCTCCCGGTGCATGGAGCCTGCTTCTTCTGCCTGTGTCTCTGCCTCTCTCTCTCTCATTCTATGTGACTATCATCAACAAATAAAAAATTAAAAAAAAAATTAAAATAAAAAAAAAAACCTGGTTCTTAGAGACAAAGGAGACAGAAATTTCCAACATCTAATTGGCTGTTTCAATTGTTCATGTTTTAAAACCAGGAATATAAAGTCTCATTGTGTTAAGTGAAAAGCAGAGTAATTTACAATTACCTATAAAAATAAAGACATATAAATGTCAGAAGTACTTCCTTAAAAATCTGTGATTTGAAGACCATTAAGTGAGAATCCTTATAAAAAACTAAAATAGATTATAAAGGATGAAATTATATACCTTAAAGTATTTGAAAATTAGGTCAAAATTTCCCCTTCCACTTAAATACTTCCTATAATTACATGACGTTTTAGGCAAATTATATCATGACAATATTCTTGAAATCAAAACATGATTTTGTTGGATGTATTTCACTAACACTAAATACTCATTTCCCCATACTTCTCAGCCCTCATTCATCTCTAGCCATTACAAATATAAATACAAAATGAATTACTTCTGATCCTAAGAATATAAACATTATAGTAAGCAATACTCCAACTGTTTCTTCCAAAGGCAAAGTGATTCAAGAATTCACACATTGCAAATGATAAGCTTAAATTATTGTCTTTACCATTTTGTGCGCATGTGTGTTTCATTTAATATTCTCATGTATAACACTATGGGGTAATATTATATACATTTTATGAATTAGGAAATTGAAGATAAAATCTGTTGCCACTGGCCATGATGGCCATAGTGATTAAGATCATGGAAGACTCCTAACTCTGGGAAACGAACTAGGGGTGGTGGAAGGGGAGGAGGGCGGGGGGTGGGGGTGACTGGGTGGTGGACACTGAGGGGGGCACTTGATGGGATGAGCACTGGGTGTTGTTCTGTATGTTGGCAAATTGAACACCAATAAAAAATAAATTTATTATTAAAAAATCTTTAGAAAATAAAAAAATAAAAGATTACTGTAAAAACAAAACAAAACAAAAAATTTATGTGTTAGTCTCCAGAGTTGAGAAATCACTGTTCCTGGCTTAGAAGGTCAAACTTTAACATTTTAACTACTGCGTTTTTAATAATAAAATCATAGAAATGAAAAAAAAAGAATTTATGTGTTGACGAAAAACTTTCAAGTCCTTTCTTTGCCACTTACTTCTTACATGATCTTGGCCAAGATATTTAATATTTTATATTCTCAAATTCTTCATCTGAAAAATGGAAATTATTTTAGGACCTCCTTGTAGAATTGTAGTGAGAATCAAGTGACATTACATGTTAAGTTCTTAAACATTTACTTATGGAGATGGAGAACTATTTTTCTTATCACAAACTCCCAAATTTGACAACTTTTAATCTTTATATAAAATACATATATAATTTAATATATATTTATTTTATTTTATATAAGTAAATATTTATTTTAATAATATATATAACTTAATATATATTTTATTTATTTAATCTTTATATTTAATATAACTTATATTGTATATAAACAAAATATTATAATATATATTTAGGTAAGAACATTGAGAAAATCAGTTTTTTATATTTTTTAAGATTTTATTTACTTGAGCAAGAGAGAACACAGGCAGGGGGAGGGGCAGAGACAAAGTGAGAAGCAGACTTCCCACTGAGCGAGGACCCAGACATGGGGCTGTTTTCCAGGACCCAGAGATGATGACCTGAGCTGAAGGCAGACACTTAAACTGACAGAATTACCCAGGAACCCCAGAGAAAATCAGGGGCGTTTCAGATGGGACATTTTCATATCACAGAGAATCAAATACAATCAAGTTTGCCAGCATGGCACAAAGATATAAATTCCTTACATGAATAACATTTTTCTTTGCTTCTTCTTCTTCTCCTTCTTCTTCTACTCTAATGTGGACAAAACACTTAACTACTCTTGTCCTAGGAATAAAACTCTGCAGAAATACAAATTATGGGTCCCATAGTAAGTTCTTTTAAAAATATTTATTTTTTATACTTTTATCAATCTTAAAAGAAGCACATTTTGAGGTAGGAAGATGGAGATGTGAGAAGAGGTCCATTGTTAGGATTCCTTTGTTCAGATTTCAGGAGTCTGAACAAAATTTATATGTAAGAATATCATGAATGATAAAGGTGATCTTTCTAAAGTGATTGTCTAAAGCTGTCAATTGCCTGAGTAAACCTTTCAGTGTTTTAATTTCTTCAATAATTAGATTTAAACTTTTTAGCATTTGGCTATTTTGACTTGCCCTCAGTTGATATTTATTTATTTATTTATTTATTTATTTATTTATTTATTCATGAGAGACACACACAGAGAGAGGCAGAGACACAGGCAGAGGGAGAAGCAGGCTCCATGCAGGAAGCCCAATGTGGGACTCAATTCCAGGCCTCATTCTGGGACTCCTGGACCACTCCCTGGGCCGAAGACAGGCGCCAAACTGCGGAGCCACCAAGGGATACCACACTCTGTTGATTTTTCAGGCCTATCCTCATCTTGGCTGAAGTTAAAAGTTCAATCGAGCTATGTTCAATTTCTCAAATGATCCATACACATTTCTCCCACCATTGCCAGCCAATGAAAAAGTCCCTATTGCAGACCTGGGGATGATCGTTTTCCAGGAGAATATAACCTGTTGGAAGAGTCATTAGTAAAGAAATTATTTGGAAGGTAAAGCTTCCTGCTTTCTAGACAGAGGCTCAATGAAGACAAGCGAACCTGAGAAACGGAAAGAGAAGGAGAAAAGGCATCAGAGCTTCTGGATCTAGCCATATATGATGTCAAAACCATCCCATCTGACTTCCAATCTGCAGACAATGAATATATTTCTTTCATTTGCAATTATACTTTATTTCACACATATTTTCATTGTTTCTAATTCTCCCCATCTATCCTTAAGATGAGGACCCTAAATTTAGTATGAATAAGAATCCCTGGAGAAGCTTGTTATTGACAGAAACCTGTCTATGTCTTCACTCCTAGAATTCCTGATGTAACTATTTCAGGAAAGAACTCAGGAATTTGGATTTTTAAAGCCAATATCCTATGTGTTTCTTATACATCTGAAGGTTTTTATGCCTTAAGGAAAGCTAGTTTTAAGGATTAAGAAATTACCTGTTTTGGTAGTGTTTGAGAAACATCAACAATGCTGCCTAGTGCCAATATTAGGTCTCTTTATCCTGAAAGAATACATGCAATGAATCAGTGGCTTTAGTCAATCGGATTGCTGAAAATATGAAATCAATGACTATTTTTACAGAGGTATCCTCTGATCAATGACCATTAGTGGTCTTCACCTAAACTTCCATACCAGTGCACACGAGTAAATGATCATTGAAATTAATGACTTCATATTGTATGACGTTCAGGACAGCTGTTGTAGAATTTTCCAAAGTGAACTTGTACTTCTCACTGCTGATAGCTGCCATGGCCTATGTCAGTGTACCATCTGCTCTGTGCTCATGCCCCAGCAGCTGCCATTCTTGCTTTGGCACCATCTGCCTGGCTATCTTGGTATCCCATCTGTACCACTCTTTGGTGCTGCTAAAATTACAGCACATTTCCCCTCTACTCCTAAACAGAGGAATCCCTGAGTCATTTCTCTGTTTAGACTCAGGAAAGCCCTTTGTAGAACATGTAGAGGGCTCCCTTTAAATATCCTTTTTTCTCTCACACTTAAAAGGTTTGTACTATTAATGATGTTTTTAAATTCAGAGAGGAACTCAGTCTGGTTTGCCATAGTAGAAATGCAAAGCTCAACAAATGCAAGTATAAAAATACTTGAATGATGATGCCTGTGCTTAAAATAATAATAAAAATAATTAATAATTTTAAAAACTCAAAATATCTTACTATATATAAAAGAAGATAATAAGCTCTTAGAGATTTTTGCAGTTTATAGGTATAAACCAATATGGTGACTATAAGCTTATCACATATTTGATCAACAAACAAATATGCCTACTAGTCTTATTGCTGCTATCAGTGAGAAATATAATATTTTTAAAATGTAAATTTATAGCCTGGTCTGGAAAACACAAATATATATAAATATTTGATATACAAGAAATAGAATAATTGATGAAAGCCTTTATTTAGAAGAGCAAAACCTCTCCAGCCCTTCTTCAGTGCTCTTCTTTGTCTCTACAGCCAGATCCCCCCACACACAGTGAAAATGAGAGATTTATAGATTGGAGAAATTGAACAAAAAAGCTTGGGATTCAGGAATGCAAAATGAAGCACAGAGCAAGAATAAATTATAAGAAAAAAATAAAAAGATGTTACACAGTAATCTCTATGTACTAAGTCAGAATTCTAAATTCTAATCTTCCTCTTTGTTTCTAGAATACCAGCAGCCAATTCTATCACTTACTCTTTAAATTAAAAATTTTTCCCTTGGGGAGGGAGGATTGTCATATTTTGACATTTGTGGTGTTTAAATATTTTTGAGAGAAAATTATGGTTCTTATACAAATGTAATTACGTCAAATCAGTAACAAATCTGGGCTTACAAAAACAGATTCAAAAAGATTATTATAAGGAAGAGGGAGAGATTTTTGCAATGGGGGAGAGACTAGAACAAAGGCAACTGAATTACTCTGAAGTGGAGAGCTGTAGGATTTTTAAGGTCCAAGGTGAGCTAGAAGAAAAGTAATGGACAAGATTAGAGGGAGGTCATATGTTGCCTCAGTTTGCTAATTGTTTTTTTCCAAAATAAAAATAAACTTCTCAAATCTTTATAACAGAAAGTAATTTTATAATGTGGAGCAATGCACCCTGTCACAATTAGGCTCCTATGTCTCACAGAGACAGAGAGCTAAGTATGTTAACTCCTTCGAAATAATTAAAAATATTTCTGGTAAGAAAAGGAATCTTCATTATCTAGGCATATTACATAGAAGGTGAATAATAATCTTTCCTAATGGAGAGGAAGGCATTTACCAATAAAACAAAGAAGGAAGCCCATTGAAACCAAGAAAACTTTGTAAAAACATTAATCTATGTCATGGCTTCTTCTCCAATTCAACTGTGATAAAATAGTTTTGCCTTCTTTGTATATTTCTGTCAGTGTTGCTCCTCATATAAACTTCACTAACAATATTATTTATAACTTTTAATCAAAATAACCTTACTTCTATTGTACAGAGAGGAACATGGAAGGTATAAAGAAGAATTGAGTGTCATACACAAACATGTTGAGAGATTAACTGAACACATGTAATTGTGAATGTTAAATTTTATCTGAGCACTGTTTTCCTAGAACAACAGTCAAGGAACCCCCCAAACTGTGTGTTCCGAGAAAAGCCTCATCACAAAGGACCATCCTGCTCTCACATATTTAGAGATATGACAATTTTCCTTCCTTCTTCATGACTCTCATACACTGATGACTCCTTTGTTTACCTGCTTCTAAAACCCCAGACTCATCCTTTTCTTTGAGATGTTCCCCATCCCTCTTTCCTTATTGTAATAGACTGAATAAAATTATTTCTTTAATTGTTCTGTGCCCTTCTCTTTCACATAGCACACTTTGTACAGTCATGCACATCCCTTTTATAAGAATTTACTAATAATTTTTGGAGGTAGGGACACATTCCATAATCACACAATGAAAATCAATGCTTTTCTTGATTCTAGACATATAGACTCACAGATGTGCAAATACATCCAGAGCTTATAGCTTCAGTGCTACAACTTCAGCCAGAGGTCACAAGTAAACAAACACAAAACCTCACACATTCCTTCACTAGAAGGCATGTAATTATTCATCTATCTGAGCTTGCAAAATGACAAATAAATGAAAATTACTAACAAACTGGATTCTCCATCATCTCTCACCCAGTAGACAACAGATTTCTATTCTCCATCAACCAAGAACACCAAATGATCAGAAGAGAAAATTTAATTCTCAATTATTGTTACCACCCACCAATGTGGAATAATTTACTGACTGTGCATGAATCAGAAACAAAAATCAAGGGAGCCTGGGTGGCTCAGTCGATTAAGCATCTGCCTTCAGCTCAGGTTATAATCTTGGGATCCTGGGGTAGAGCCCTTCGTAGGACTCCCTGCTCAGCTGGGAGTCTGCTTCTCCCTTTCCCTCAGTCCCTCCCCACTGTGCTTTCTACTCTCTCTCATGCTCTCTCAAATAAATAAACAAAATCTTAAGAAAGAAAAAGAAAGAAGAAAGAAAGAAAGAAGAAAGAAAGAAAGAAAGAAAGAAAGAAAGAAAGAAAGAAAGAGAAGAAAAGAAAGAAAAAGAAGAAAAGAAAGAAAGAAAGAGAGAGAGAGAAAGAAGAGAAGAGAGAAGAGAAAGAAGAGAAGAGAAGAGAAAGAAGAGAAGAGAAGAGAAGAGAAGAGAAGAGAAGAGAAGAGAAGAGAGAAGGGAAGGGAAGGGAAGGGAAGGGAAGGGAAGGGAAGGGAAGGGAAGGGAAGGGAAGGGAAAGAAGAGAAGAGGAAGAGAAGAGAAGAGAAGAGAAGAGAAGAGAAGAGAAGAGAAGAGAAGAGAAGAGAAGAGAGAGAAGGGAAGGGAAGGGAAGGGAAGGGAAGGGAAGGGAAGGGAAGGGAAGGGAAGGGAAGGGAAGGGAAGGGAAGGGAAAGAAGAGAAGAGAGAAGAGAGAGAGGAGAGGAGAGGAGAGGAGAGGAGAGGAGAGGAGAGGAGAGGAGAGAGAAGAGAAGAGAAAGAAGAGAAGAGAAGAGAAGAGAAGAGAAGAGAAGAGAAGAGAAGAGAAGAGAAGAGAAGAGAGGAGGAAAACAGCAAGAGTAAAAAGTCATAAGCATTAAAATTTCATTGTTGATTGGAATTCACTTTGGAAACCAAGAGAAGCCATACCTGGACTTAAGCATCCCATAAGATATCCTTCGCCATCAACACAGTTTACCTAACTCTGACAGGTAAATTGCTCAGTAGCTCAGGGTGACCTCCAAAATAAAAGCCCCTCTGAAGTGTGATTACTCTATGGTCCTTTAAGGACTGCTAACCTCCGCCCTCACATACTATGCTTCCAGTCAGCATTTGCATGGCTTCATTCTCAAATATGAGCTGACAGCCATAGATCAGCAAATATTTTGGCATAAAATAAAAGGTACCAAAGTCAAAAACAGGAAAAGTAATTATACAGTAAAAAGAGCCAATTAAGTTTACAGGTTTTTTTTTTAATGGAGAAAAATGACTATATGTTAAGTAAACATGCTCCTTGTGTTATCTCATCCACCCCCTACCAGAAGCAGCTAGGAAATGATTTACTCAACAAACAAAAGCAGGGATTTCCAAATGAGGTTTAAGAAGTTACAAAAGCAAATTGGAGCAAAGAGGTAGGCAGGTCCAAATTTTGAAGGAAGTAATTTATTAACTAATGATATAAAATATATCATAAAATCTATGAAGACACACTGGGGGATTCCACTGGGACACAATAGTGTAGGAAGTGTATTCAGAAGTTTTGACATTATTGAGTCAAATACATTACAGGTTTACTTCATGATTTCGTAGTGCACATCCTGAGAAAAACCAAATGCTTAAAACAAGGCACAATTTACCTCTAAGTCATTTTTTTTGTAGAAGTTAGAGCCCGTATATTCATCTAGATTCTAGATTTTTAAAATGTAGGAGTACTGATACTTGTGCTATGTAATCCATGTGGGAATGATCTTTCCACTTGCCAGGCTTAGTTAGTAAAGGCTGATGGAAGACGGGCCTCGGGAGAAGTACAAGGGAGCAAAAAGCAATTCTGTAAAGGCCAAACACAAGAGATGAATTAGGAAAGGACTCAATCTGTTTAATTGAAAGTGCAGAAAAACTGGAAGGTTTTTTTTCTTACATTTCTAGTTAAAATCAAATGTCACTACTCTTAGAAGGTTATCATTTACAGTTTGAACTTTTCTGGCAGAACACAAAGAAAAAAATGTAATTCTTTTGAGTGTTTTCAGTTATCTGAAATCAGATGGGTTTATTAAAAAAAAGAATTTATAGCATTGAGCATTAATATCTGCCTTAAGAAACTAAATTTTTTTTAGTTTTTTTTAAAGGATTTAATTTCTTTATTCATGAGAGACACACAGAGAGAGAGGCAGAGACACAGGCAGAGAGAGAAGCAGGCCCCCTGCGGGGAGCCCAATGTGGGACTCAAAACCAGGATCCTGGAATCATGACCTGAGCCGAAGGCAGATGCTCAACCCCTGAGCCACCCAGGCATCCCATTTTTTTTTTAGTTCTAACATTATGAATTGCCACGTTTAGTTTTCAAGAACTGCTGAAAAATAATCAGATAATCTGTCATTGGTAGGAAAACATGTATGTTAGTTTCATGTTTGCTAAAGCGCCATCATTGACTAGAAGGGTGCCCCTCTCATATAGTTATTTTTTCCTAACGAGACAACTTCGGGACTGTGGGGAAATGCTAAAAATTCAACATGATGTATTTTCAAGCAGAACACTCTGTGGAGCATATATTCCAATTTCTTTATTTTAAAAATAAGGAAACCAAAGTCTATTGAGGCCAACCAACTAATTAGTTATAATTAGTCATAAATAGGTATTTGCTTGTGGCTACCAGTCTGAAAACCTTTAAAATATATTAGTAGCTCACATTAATGGTTCAGTCCACTAAAATTAAATTATTTAGAGAAATGAAATCTGGAGATGAAGGGGGTTTCCATTTATATTTTGTCACCTGTGTCTGCTAAGATTTAAAAACAACTTTAAATCTTCCATCTACTGTTAGGATAATTTCATTACAAATCAAAACTTTAATAACAGTATAAGTCGGACATATTAGGAAAAAGAACACTCTTATATTTAACATAACTGAGTTCTCAGTACATTGTCCCTACTCATTTCTCTTTTTGCTGTTGAATAGTATAAACTTCATCCTGAAATATCATAAGTCTGACCACACACATATAGGAACAAATTTAAATAGTGTATTCCCTACATACAGAAAACAGCTCAACATGAGGATATAGGAGGAATTTTCAAGCTCACTATTTAGGATGCTCTCACAATGTCCTGGTGACCTATTTCTAGTTCATGTTCTTCAACATGGATTATCACCTATCTTATTGACTTCTTGTGTAGCATCCTTCTTTTTGTTATCATTATTGTATCTGTTTCCTGAAGCCATGAAATCACTGTAATGTACTCTCCATTCTCAAAGGGTGGCTATTTGGTGCACAACCATGTCTTCATCATTTCGTAGGCTACCTGGTATGGAATTGTCACTCAGTGTTCATTAAATGAATGAATGCATCATGTTGGAAGGAAAGCACCAAATTCTGTTTCTACATAGTAAATGCACATGTTATGTTTCCCAATTCATGATATTTAATCATCATTTCAAACTGAAGTTTCCTGTATTTTTCTTGCTATCTTTCTTCTTTCAGGTTGTAGGCCCTCTCATGGATATTAGATTTATGGTAATGATGACAATCAGAATAACTAATACTTACTTAATGCTTGAAACTCATCACAGTGCTTCAGGTATGTTAAAATAATCACTAGAGAAACCCTGAGAGATGGGCATTGTGATTACGTGTTTATGGAAATGAGGACATTGGAGCACAGAGATGTTGAGTGATAATCATCCTAGTAAGAAGCAGCCACAGGATTTGGACCCAGCCATCCTCACTCCATAATTGACTTCTCATCCATTCTACCCTACAGGCTTTAAGCACTTGGACCTACTTCAGGCAACCCTTTAATTTCAGGTTGAACTCTACCTTTAACTCTTCTTCTCTCTACACTTTAGGTCCTATTTCAGTCCTTGTTCCACATGAGTGAAATATATCTGTATGCAGTGTGAGTCATAGTAAAAGAATGGATGTTGACATATGTCTATGCAAACATGTGGATGTTGTTGGGAACACAAACTAAGGTTTACACAGACTACCTAAAGCACAATTTGGGAATTGATTTGAAGCAGAACATAATTCCCTTCAAAATCCAAGAACAGGAAATGTGATTGGATCTCACAGGGAACTAAAGTTAAGAAAGTAAAACACACATGTTTGCATAATTCCGGTATCCGCAGTTTTTCTTGAATTGGGCTTCAGGTTGAGTTGGCCAAGGTTAGGGTGTTTATTCCTTCATCTCCCTCTCTGAAGGATTTTCACACCTGGCTGTGTTCCTACACCCAAGAGTACAACTCCCTGTCAGGCAGCCCTTTTCCAAAGGCTCTCTTTCTCCCTTTCTGACTTCCTATAACTCCACTTTTCCCTAATCCATTCAAGCTCAGTGTGATAAATTTACTTACCATTACTGGCTATTGCATTGTCCATAGTGGTCTCTTTACAGCCTACCCAGACCTTCAGAAATTCTCTTTATTAAGCTCTCTTCAAATTACTCTACTTGGAAATGCCTTTTGCTTCCTGTTGGCCCCCTGACTGATACAAATTAACTATATCTCAATCTCTATAGTAATATTTTAGAGAGATCTATACAATTTTGGCACTTTGCATTGCTTAGGAAGTTTTTCAGTGGGTTATGGGTACATTTCATCTATCTGTCCTTCCTCTGCCATTTAAGTTAAAGACATAATGTTAAGGACTTAACTTCTGAGAAAGAAGCCACAGACTTTTATACCTTTAACTTCCTACTGATGTCTATCTGAAAACTGGAGAGAAATTACAAACCTTTAAGTTGGAGACAGAAAAACTGGATATAGAATTAGAAAGAGCATGGAATTAGGGGTTTGCTGCAGTTACTTCCAAAATGGCTCCAGCAATCCTGTTACCTACATCTTTGTGTGATCTTGACTGAATCAGGGCTAGTCTCTGAGACCAATAGAATACCATACTTTTTTTTTTTTTTTTTTTTTTTTTTTAGGAAGGAAACCGAGACATGATTCTTGTCAGCAAAGACCCAACAGTTTGAGAGAACAACTTTTTAAAGGTCACAGTTTGAGTATTTTTTTTAAGATTTTATTTATTTATTCATGAGAGATACAGAGAGATACACGCTGAGGGAGAAGCAGGCTCCATGCAAGGAGCTGGATGTAGGACTCGATCCCGGGACTCCAGGATCACGCCCTGGTCCAAGGGCAGGTGCCAAACTGCTGAGGCACCCACGATGTGTATGAGCCACCCAATACCATAGTGTGTGACTTCCAAGCCCATCATACGAATTATTTCAGCTTCCCCCTGAAGCTGTAAGGGCTTTCTTTTTCTTTCTTTTTCTTTTTCTTTTTTTTTTAAATTTATTTTTATTTTTATTTTTTTTATTCGTGAGAGACACACAGAGAGAGAGGCAGAGACAGAGGCAGAGGGAGAAGCAGGCTCCATGCAGGGAGCCCGACGTGGGACTCCATCCCTGGTCTTTAGGATCAGGCCCTGGGCTGAAGGCGGCGCTAAACCGTTGGTTGAGCCACCGGGCTGCCCCTGTAAGGACTTTCGCCAATCCATAGAACTACCAAAGGTTCCCACCAACAATCAGAAGCAACCTGAAAGTCATATGAATGAGTCAACTTGGAAGCAGGGAAGCCACCAGAGAGATAAATGCCTACAACCTGTAGATAATTGCATCTGACTATAATCAATGGGACACCCCAAGCTAAAACTGTTCAGTGATTCTGTTCTCAAATTTCAGATCCCCCAAAACTGCGAGGGGTCATATTTATTGTTTTAAGCCACTTACCTTTGTGATAATTTATTATAAGGGTAAAGAACTAAAATGAAGCTGAATAGAAGAGTGTATGCAAACTTTCATTCCAGATTACGGAATTGAGGGAGGCCGAATATATGACTCCAAAATGTGTTTTGTCATGTGGTTTTGAGCTGAAGGCAATTAAGACCCAGCAGACTCTGGAAAACATTTTGTCTCTCTTAACTGCCTAAAGGAATTTAGATAGGGGACCTCTAGCAGGAAAACAGCTATTACCATAGATAACTTTTTATATCAGAAAGACTTATTTGCATGGGCAGGGCAAACATCTGTTTACCAAATATTGCTTTTGTGTTGTTTCCGTGACTTTTCTTCCCCTTTGAAGCCCCAGACACCTACCTCCTTGCCATTAGCTCCAGATGGCATCTAAAACCTCAATTGCCTATGAGGCTCATATTTTTATGGGACTCAGTACACAGAAATTTGTTTTTCTCCTGTTAATCTGTCTTATGTCAACTTAGTTATTAGACTAACTAAAGAAACAGGGGAAGAAGGGAAAAGTTTTCCACCCCTAAGAAGCTAAATTATTGGACAAGAAGAAGGGGAAAGTTCAAAGGCTGTGACATCCAAGAGGTTGCTTAGAATAAAATTCAAAAAATTAACTTGAGTTTATTCTGTATGACACATATTTGGATTTCAGAGTCTAGAGAATTTCAAGTGGTGGGGCCCAAGATTCCAGGTAAGTCTAGAGTTGTTGAGGCCTTGCAACAGAAAAGACTTTGAAGCATAAGTACAATTTTCCTGAGTGATGTGAAAAAGGAATTAGCCTCATAAGATTTCAGCCATGGTAGAAGAGAAAAGAGAGGAAATCTGGGGCCAGTGGAAAATGAGAGTGAAACCTCTGAATTGGAAATGGTGTGTGTGTGTGTGTGTGTGTGTGTGTGTGTGCGCGCGCGCACGCGCGCGCACATGCATGACAGCATAAATCCCACACAGGAGATATTACCAGGTAGACTCTTGCCCTTAGGGTGTTATAGCCATAATATATGTAACTGTTCTTGTACAGGCATCATTTTCAAATCATGTTTAACACATAGATCTTGGTTTCTTCCTTCTCTGTGGTTATCTGTTTTATGTTTTCTAAGTAAATAATTGATTTTTTAAAGTTTTTCTTAAATGCATATATTTTCACAAACATCATGTGCTTACAAACACATTAGTCTTCATCTATCTCTTGAGAGTTTTCTGGGATAGTTCCAATTAAAAATATTCCATCATGTTGTTATATCATATGTTAGACCAATGTGTCTTGATTTTTTGTTTTAGAAAAAAAGTCATTGCAGATCATTTCTTACTATGCTAAGAAGCTTAAACAGAAAAAGAACAATGTATGAAAATAGGAGAGATGTGAACAGAAGCAGCCAACTGGCATCCATGCTTGGGGCTCACATGCAAATCAAGTTATTCTTTGCTTTCCAACACTTCCCAAATTCCTTTAAAACCATATTTGAAGCTGGTTAGCAACTCTATATGAAGACATCAGTGATATAAATATGGGCAGCATTGTGTTGGGTAGAGCAATGCCAGGAATTGACAGGACCAGCAGATAAAACCAAAGCAATTAAGTTTCCATAAACACTTGCTATTGAATCAACAGTCTTCTTTATAAACAACAGCACAGCAAGAAGTCAATGACAAATTATACATTTCCAATACATAGACCATACTGGTTTGATGAAGCAACAGAATCCTTTTCAATTTTTCTTTTTAAGATGTGGGAGGAAAAAAAGTTGCTCAGACATTTGTGAGCTTTACTTCAGAAGTCATGTGAAGTTTTCTGTCTGCAAAATGTTAAATCTCTCACCAACAGCAACAGAAATATTCCTATGAAACAGTGAGCAATTTTTGAGTGATATTTAATCCTCCTTTCCCACAGACCATTTTCCAGGTACTCATTATGAACTCTTTGATGAGACCAGAAAATTCTGTCTCCAGGGCCTCCAACTTCTGTTATTTTTTATTTCATATCTCCCACCTCAACACATAATACAAAATAGCATATGATTATACACTTTTTACCTTATTTTGTTCCCTGTAGATATTCAACTGACCTTTCTCAGGAAGGATCCGAGGAAAACTTTATTATTAAATAACAATGTCTTCTTTCTTCCAGAGAACAAAGAAAAAATCTGCAATGGGGAAAAGGAGAGAAAAAGAAAAAGATGCTGGTTAGTCATGTAGATAGAGACTTCAACATAAAATGGCCACGCACTCATAAATGCAGACATTTCCCAAATTTTTAGAATAATAAATCAAAAACATCTGATGATACTTAATTTTAGAGTGGCTTTTCTACTATCATAGCTGATTTCTGTTTGTGCCATTCTTTTTTGCTGTTAAGGTCCTATTTGTTTATTGTCATCTTGCTCAAATAACATCTGGAGTATTTCATATTTTACTATTTAGTATGTAGTATAATATGATTTAGTATATCCAGATTTTTCAGTTAGTTGTTTCCACATAACTTCTGGACAGATTTCTGATACAATGCTCCCATATTACAGGCAGTTTTCCTATTGAACAAGAAGTTCCCGAGAAAAATAGATTATCTTTTCATTTCTAGAACCTCAAAGTGCCTAGCATTCATAATACATTTGCCATAAACACACTGACGGTACTGTATGCAGGGACTGGAGTGCAAACTTCATAGGATTGTGCAGTTTAAATTTGGTTGTTCAATGTGTCTCCAATGTCTACAAGAAGGCACAGTTCCTAGTAATACCTCAATAAATATTTATTGAATGATTACATGCATGCATGTAATAAAGCTGATAAATTGTTTCTCTTATCTGGGCCACGGGGCCACTTTCCCTTTCAGTGTTCTGGTTATCTGATTGCGGCTTCACTGAATCATGCAGTTAATCTTTACAACTTGTTCAACATGTGGAAGTTTAAGACTGGTGGGGTCCATTGATGATGTGGTCTAGATCCTAAACTTGAAATGCATACACAATCATGACTTGCAATCTTCACAGTCTTTAGATTTGTTCTCATTACTATGCACTCATGTTCTTTTTCTGCTGTAAATTCCTGGATCTCTTATAAGCATTTTCTTTGCACTGACTTCCTCATAGAGCAAATCTTTCCTGCAGGGTATTGTTTAAAAGCAAGAGCACACCATACAGCCAAATATCTGGTTCTCATTCAGGACACTGAATTTTACACACTGTATGAACTTGGTAAGTTGTATACTGTCTTCAAGTGTCAGTTTACTTATTTGAAAAGTGAGGTTAATGACAAATGAGTATGTAATCACATTGTCACAATGTAAAATAAGAGAGCATACGTGGTCTTATTTTAACACCATCCATTAAATCTAAAAGTAAATGCTTGTTATTTCCATGCTTTTAGTAAGGGATTAATAATCCTACACATACATACAAAGGTAAGGTAATATTAGTAATTCAGATTATTCCCATAAATTTCTTGTAGTAGACTGAAGAAAAACTATTTTTCATGTAGGGCCAATTACCATGTAGTTACACAGATCCTAATGTATCAAGGTAGGTCTCTTCTATTTGAGAAACTAAATGACACTGCTGCCAAAATAACCCGCCAGTCAAACTCAAACAAGCAATGACCCTCTGTCTCTCTTCTAAAGGTAGGCTGTTTTCAAATTTTACCTTGGGGAGCCACCAGGTATTTCATGAGTTGTCATAAATCAGGTAAGTGTATAAATGAATCTGTTTATGTATTCCGTTGTATTACCTTGGTCCATGTCCATACTTGTGCCTCTAGTACTTGGTCTTAATTACTACAGTATTATAGTAAATCTTGATATCTTACAGTAGAAGTCTCCAACATTCTCACCAGTGTTGAATCAAGTTTCTAGAAGAAAATAGTTTCATGACTCATGACTTTGAGATGATGGAAATTTTTTAAATAGGATCTCTCTTACTCTCTCTCTTTCTCCCATATGTACACACACACACATGCACACACACACACATTAACCATAAAAAAAGAAAGACAAACCAGACATACTTAAATTAATATCTTTTGTTTAACAAATGATACAATTAAGACTTCAAAAAATAAGCCACAGACTAACAAGATATTTGCAACACAAACATTTGACAAATACTTCATATCAAAAACATATGGAGAATCCTTACAAATCAGTTATAATAGTAAAAAAGACAATCTAATTATAATAACAGGCAACAGATTTGACAGAGACTTCACAAAAGATAATATATAAAAATTTATATCAAAGTGGCTAATAATCATATAAGGATGCACTCAATATCATTAGTAATTAGACAAATATAAATTAAAAACTAAGATGAAATACTATTACAAAAACATAAGGGATAAATTAAAAAAAAAAGCTGAGAATACCGAGTATGGGTGAGGATGTAAAGTTGATAAAAGTATAAATTTCTAGAATTCCTTTGGAAAAGTATTTAATAATACCTATTAAAGGAAAACTCATGTATATCATTTTCCCCAGTAATTTCACTCTTAGGTATCTATCCCCCTCACCCAAAAAAAGTGAATAATAATATGCACCAAAATCGGCAAAATGTTTATGTTTTATTCATAATAGATCTAAACTGAAAATGAATGACCCTTCCATTAACAATAGAATGGCTAAATAAATTGTATTGTCTACACACAGTAGGATACTGCACAACTATTAACAAAAATAAACTTTGCATGCAACATGAGTGAATCTCCCAGGTATAATATTAAGGAGAAGGGGTTAAACACCAAAAATATATATATTCTACCTACATGAAATTTCAAATTGATATAATTAACCCACAGTTATGGAAACAGAATGATTTTTACTCTTGGAACTTAACTGAGTAAAAAGGGGAATGAAGGATCTTCCTAGTTGCTTTGATTGTGGTCGCACAGGTATATACGTATTCACAAATTTGTCAATTTGTACACTTAAAATTTAGGTACTTTACTAAATGAAATTTTTACCTTATTAATTTTTTTAAATTGACAAATTCACAGAAGCAAAGAGGATAAAAAATATTGATGTTATATTCCTTATAGAGTTTATTCATATGACTTCTTTGGTTCTGACAATGAAGGGACTTCATGTAAATGCTTTCTGGGAAGGTCATGATCTAAAAGTTAATATGTGAGAAAGCATTCCCAAGGGCATGTTAGAAGGCCATAATCCATTCTCCTCAGTCTTTCCTTCATTCTTGATCTTTCCTCTAAAAATTTGCAAATATCCATGTTTCAGTTATATATTAAGAAGAAATACAATCAGAAAACAGAAATATAAGGAAAACAAATTTAAATGATCAATGTATCGAGTTTCTGGTATTATTTTCTGAAAATATTTTAAGAGTTTTGGCTTAACATTGCCTACTGCATGTGAAATGATTGTGTTAAGTAGGTACTGATACTGAAGTCAGGGAGGTGATATATCTGCTGTTCCCGTAATACTTTTGTTCAGAAAAACTGCCCTTCCCTGAGTCTATGCATCTAAAATTCCTTGGTTAAAATGACCCACTTGGTTCCTAGGTTTGCAGTCCTTCAAGCAATGGACAATCATTCAGACCATTCTGGAGGTATAGCCCTGGTCCAGGCCATAGGACCAATCCTGTTATAATACTCTAGTGAGGGATCCCTGGGTGGCCCAGCGGTTTGGCGCCTGCCTTTGGCCCAGAGCGGGATCCTGGAGACCCAGGATAGAATCCCACGTCGGGCTCCCGGTGCATGGAGCCTGCTTCTCCCTCTGCCTGTGTCTCTGCCTCTCTCTCTGTCTCTGTGTGTGACTATCATAAATAAATAAAAAAAATTAAAAAATACTCTAGTGAATATGCCTCAGTCTTGATCCCCAAAACCTCTCACTCTGGATGCACTTACTTTTCCCACCCCTACAACCTCTACTTTACCTCTGAGAAATGCTCTCCAATTCTAACCTCTCTGTCTACACCTTTGTACGGGATTACTTCTGCAGGATTCCCTGTTTGCCAAAATCTCTGCCTGTTGCCTGTGCTTGACCCTCAAATTCTGTCTCTACAGACCCCAGATCTGTACTTCATAATAATTCTTGGCCAACAGAGTTACCTTCATAGTTACCTGCATTCAATCCTCATCCAAAAATGCTTCACATACTACTGATGCCCAAATGTAAACCTTTACCTTTATGTTTTGATTCAGTTGCTCCAAGTGTATGTCTGACTCTTAAACAAAGGTACCCTCCTCCTTTCCTTGTAGCCTCTGTTCTCTGAGGAGTTTTTGGTTGAGTGTGCACATTTTACCTATTCATAAACCTCAAGCCAAAACTTGGACTCAAAGACCTGAGGGTTCTGTTTTAGCACTTACCCTCTGGCTTAGTCCCCTGAATTTTGAGTTTGCTTTTGTTTGCCCTTACCTCTGCTAAGCGAAATAAGTCAGATGAAGAAGGACAAATACTTCATGATTTCACTTTTACACAAAATCTAAAAACCAAAACAAACAAAACAAAACCTAGAGTTGTAGATATAGAAAACAGATTGATAGTGGCCAAAGGGGAGGTCGTGAGGGGTGAGTGGGGATGGTGAAATGGGTGAAGGAGATTAAGAAGTACAAATTTCTAGCTGTGAAATGAACAAGTCTTAGGGAGTAAAGCATAGGGAATATAGTTAACATTGTGTTAACTTTGTAAGATGACTTTTTGTAGTGACCGTTTTATACTGTATACAGATGTCAAATCACTATGTTGTATACCTGAAACTGATATAATATTGCATGTCAATTCTATATCAATAAGAAAATGAAGGATGTTTTACACAGCCACCAAGGAAGCTATAGCTAGTAATTAATAAATTATATGCTACTGAAATAAAAAGTCAGAGTTCCTTGGAGGAGCTAAAAATGCTAAGGTAACTAATTTCCATCGACACTAATTTTCCTATAATTATTCTCAAGAGTCCTGATAGTTATCTTGTGATTGCTTTCAATTCTTGCTTAGGATACAGATCCTGGCATTAAATCATCCCTACACAGGATTGTATCAAATTCCTTATGCATCTTATACCATTAAATAATAATTTTTTAATTTGTTTATCACAGAAGAAAGATAATATATTTGTATATAAAATATCTTGGGTGTATTTATATATTTACAATAACGTGGGCAGTACAGTATGTTTTCAAAGACCTTCTATCATAATTAATTAGAATCTGCTTATAAAATATGATATACTCTTAAACTTGGATTATGAAGCCCATTAAGCAGATTGCAGCATTCTGAAAAAAAAATTAAACTCTAAAGAGCTGATTGTTTTTTATAGTCCTGATATGCCATCTGTATTTCCAGCATATTGGATTTCATTCTAAACAAAAGGAAATTGATTTTCAGAGAATTTTCCAGCATCATAAATAATAGGAGATCCTAGGATAAAACTGTAGTATTTTAGCTCAAGGACCAGTATAAGTTTTATTATATTGCACTATAGTGAATTATTAGATTGTGTGTGTGTGTCTGAATTAGCCAGTTATTTCAACTGTGCAAAACTAATTTATTAAATATCTATTAAACACTATTATGTATCAGGTACACTTAAAAATAAAATTAGATTTATGTCATCTTTAAAAAAACTCTAAAAATTTCAGTTGATTTCAAATTTGGAGTGCAAATCCTGTGATTATTCTTAAAAAAAATCCTAAAAATGGCTTGATATTTGTTTTAAAATATGCATAAGGTATAATTACAATGAAGTACAGTATAATAATTGAAATTCTGGGAAAAATAGGATACAATATTTTATATAAATTATTTTCTATGTGTAAATCTAAGTACTAAATTTGTACATAAGGAAAAAAAATACTTGAAAGATAAAATCTAAATTGTTAATGCCAATTGTTCGATTGGTGTGAAACAAGTAACTTTTTTTTAGTTCTTAAACCTTTTATAACAGCTTTTTTGAGGTATAATTAAGGTACATGTTAGTGTATACTCAAAAAAAATTATAACTATTAAGACAATGAGAATATACACATCACCACCTCATATTACCCCTCAGAAAACACAACAGAAGTTATAGACAGCTTCATCATGGGGATCAACTTGAATAATAACACTTAAGTGTGGGTGGGGTATAAATATTAATGTGTATGTGAAATATATATCAATCTATATTGCAGAAGCTCTTTTTAAATTTTTTTTCAGTTAATTCAGAGGGAAAATGTCTGTTTTACTGGATGTTTTGAGGATTAAGTAAAAGAATGGAATTCATATTTCATGATTTATGTTGCTATATTACTATGAATCTAAAGGTTTTGAGGGTATATGACATTTTAGAAGGAGAAAGTGAAGAAGGGAAAGAAAGAGTTGAAAAAAAAAAGAGTGATAAAGAGGAGACTGTTTGCATATTCATGTTTCCTGAAAGAATTGATTTACAGAATCCCCCTCTTTGGCAGTGGGCAGGAGAAGCTTGAGGACAACAGCAAATCACATCATGTATATTATTCTGCACAAGTCATTCCATCTGTTTTTTTGTTTTGTTTTGTTTTGTTTTTTAGTTTTTCCCTAAAATATGAGCTAAACTATTGGCTTTTAATGCTTTCTACTCAGCAGGATGAATTCAGAATAAGCTTGGCAGATTGCTAAAAGAAGGTGCTAACCAAATTTAATAACCTATACTAAGTAAATTTCATAACCTATAGTCAGAAACCTTATCAAACAGAAATAAAGGAGAGGGTATATTAGCTCTGATTTTCCTGTCTCACAATGACAACCATGCTTAGTAGAGTGATCATATATCCAGAATATCTCTAAGTCATGTATATAAGTTACTAAGACTATGATCACATCTCTTCTCTATAGGCAATAGAGAACTCAAATATAATCTTGTTATGTTTTTATATTAGTTTCGTATTGTGACTGTAACAAATTACTATAAACGTAGTGTCTTAAAACAACACAAATTTATTATCTTAGAGTTCTGGAGGTCAAAAGTCCAAATGGGTCTCACCAGGTAAGCTAAAATCAAGATTCAACAAGGAAGCACCAGGGAAGAATTCATTTCCTTGCCTTTTTCTACTTCCAGAGATTGCTCACATTCTTTGACTCATGTTCCCTTCTTCTGTCTTCAAAGGCAGCAATGATGGGTCCAGTCTTTCTCATGATTCATCACTGACATTAATTCCCTCTTCTAAATGTAAGTACCCTATAAACTCACATGGATATTCCAGGATAATCTCTCTACTTTATTTGCTTTTAAAGATTTATTTATTTTAGAGAGAGAAAGAGAACATGTATGTATGCAGTCATGCAAACAAGTTGGGAGAGGAAGAGAGAGAATCTTAAGCAAACTTCCCATTGAGCATGGAACCCGAAGTAGGGTTCTATCTCAGGACCCTGAAATCATGACCTGAACTGAAATCAATAGTCAGACACTTAACCAACTGAGCCCCCCAGGCACCCCAACCTCCCTACTTTAATGTCAGGTGATTAGCAATTTGAATTCCATCTGCTACCTTAATTCTCTTTGTCCTATAATGCAACATATTCAAAGGTTCTGGGCATTAAGACATGAAATCTATCCTTCCCACCACAGTTCTGTCTTCTTCTGTTGGTTCCACTGACTAACATATTCAATTTTGTCTTGATCCTGAAGATTTCTTTTTGCAGGAAATGCAAATACACTACACAAGTGGTTTGAAAAAAAGGCTTATTATAAAACACAATCCCAGAAGTTGACAATAATCTAAATTTATGTTTTCTTTTCAGGGGTGACAATGAAATACTTCTTGTATTTGGCTGCTGCTGCTGGCTTCCTGCCTATTTCGATTATAAGAGTATGTGAGGATTGTATGTTTCAAAATTACTTTCCAGAAAAGGATAAGAGCTATCCCTGTAGAACTCATTTTGTTACAGACACTGTTGTGAGGACACTTAACCCATTATTCACCTCGGTCTCACCATAGGCCATGTTGAGCAAGTACTATTCTTAATTTCCCATTGCAGAGAAAAGAGCCAAAACACAGGGAGGGGAAGCAATTGGCCAATATCAGATAACTGGGAAGTGGAAGAACATGAAAGTTAACCTAACCAGTTTGGCTTCCTGGACTCATGCCAATTTAATTATAGCTCCTCTGGATGATTCAAAAAAACTGAGAATGTAGAGCAGGAATAACTTCTTTATAATGTACCATGCATCCCTCATGACTAAATGGGAAAAATACTGTTGTGGGTTTTTTGTTTTGTTTTGTTTTTTACCCAGAAAAACAAGTATTCCATAAATATCCCAATTGTACTATCTGATTTGTGACTATAACAAAAATTTATCACATCAAAATTAAATATAAAATGAAAGTGTGAATAGCAAGAAGAGAAGTGTGAGGAACTGTAAGCCATGGAATCAATATATGAAGCCTGCCCCTCACTACTTATTAAAGACAAGAACTTCACCAATCACAAAATAAAAACAAAACACTCAATGGTGTAAAGAAGAAGTCCTTAATATTTTTGGTCACCCAATGATATGTACCTCTAAATAGCCTCAATGACACAAATATTACATTTTTTCAGAATACCCAAAATATTTTTATGATGAACTGAAGTCAATAGCTTTGGTACAGAAAATGAGTGATTTTTATGTTTTCATGTGCTAGATAGGAGTCAAAAATGGGAGGCATTTACCTTTATAAATTAAAATCTATATACATTTAATTTTATAAATTAAAATATACATACATCAGACTATTGGGGTACTGATTTGGGTCTTATCACTCACCTCTCCCCCAAAGAACCGGGTAGAACTCTTATCCAATAACCAATAATACTCAAATACATGGAAGTATAGTATTAAAGAGTTCTCCTTCCTCCCCTTTGGCTCTATTCCCATTTTACTCCCCCAGTGTGTGTTTGTGGGGCAGGGGGGTGGGTGTCTTCACACTTCACAGTAAGGAAAAGCTAACCTGAAGTATAGACACTATCAGAGAGAAAGAAGAAAGTGAGAAAGCAACTTTTGCCTTTCAGGCCTAATCAGTACTTGGCTGGTGTATGTCACTTAGCCCACATTCGAGGAGACAGCCTGGTATCTGGCATCACTTGGTAGAGCAAGCTGAAAAAGTATACTAATGAAGAGAACAGCCTTGAGCAAATATTCCAAGGCAGAATAGAAACTGGCACATTACAATGATTAAAAGAAAATCACTGAGACTAAAGAATAGTAGGGGAGCATGTCTTCAATAGGGGCTGAGAGGTCAGCAGAGTTTTCATAGGCCTTGTAAAAAAATAGTTTTTCTTTCTAAGAAATTATTGAAAGACTTTTAAAAGGAAAGGGATTCCATCATTTCAGTATTTTGAAATGTTTACTCTGGTGGATGACTGGATAATAAATTGTGAAAGACTGGATAGGGGAATAGGAAGGAAGGTATAGAGGTGATAGGGTGTATTTGAAGGCTAGAAGGCCAATAGGAGGCCAGGCTATAGCTAGTCAATCCAGGTGAAGAACAAGAAGACTGAGAGATAGGAGAAAAATTAGAAGAATGTGTTGTCCCTTAAATGGAAAGACTATTTCTACACTGGGAGCTTAGGCATGGGAGTTAGCAGCCAACAGATCAAATAGAATGAAACATTAAAAAAATATTGAATTTATAAATTAAACTTGTTAGTGACCTTAATAGGAGTTGTTTCAAAGCAAAGTATCTCAACTTCAGAACTACCGACACTTTGTTATGGAATAATTCTTTTATTAATAATAATTCTCAGGGAGTCTTTCCTGAGCCTTTTAAGGATGTTTAGCAAAATCACTGGCCTCTATCAACAAGATGGTGGAGTACTCATCCTAATTCAGTCATGACAACCCGAAATTTCTCTAGACATTGCTTATTGCATGGGAGAAGGAAGAAGTTACTTAAGGAGGAGGTATACCATTCCTGGTATAGAACGTTGGTTTTAGTGGAACACATAGGGGAAGGATGAATGTAGACAATATTACTTAGAGGGTGGGAAATTAAAGACAGTCAATACTTGGAAATATTCCAGGAATTTTGGTAGGGAAGAAGTAGAAAGTCCATGATGCAATAGGGAAGTGAGATAAATGAAGAGTTTTGTTTGTTTAAGTTACAAGCAACATTATCATGAATAAATGCCAACAGAAAGGATAAAAAAATGGTTGGAAAGATAATGAGTAATAGGAGATTAATTATAATGGAAAAATAATGAGTAATGTGAGATTTGGGGAAATGTGGAAGAAAATGGAGTAAATAACATTGGAGAGAAATAGTTTTGTTTGTTTTGTTTTTTTAAGATTCCATTTATCCATTCATAGAGACAGACAGAGGCAAAGACACAGGCAGAGGGAGAAGCAGGCATCACACAGAGAACCCGATGTGGGACTCGTTGCGGGGCCCCCAGGATCACGCCCTGGGCTGCAGGCGGCTCTAAACCACTGCGCCACCGGGGCTGCCCGAGAGAAATAGTTTCTGAAAGAATGATCTGCTTTTAATTTTTTTGAGGAACTGTCCTACTATTTTCCATTATGGCATATTTTCCATTACGTCTTTTTTTTTTTTAGAACCACATTGATTTTATCTCCCCTATTGTATGACAGTTTAATTATTGCAGGCAGATTTAGTTAGAATTTGCTTTACAACTTTCTAGACCAAAAAAAAAAAAAAAAAAAAAAAAAACCCACCTTTCTAGACCAAGAGTTGGCAAACCACAGCCAGTGAACCCGCCAAAGAATCCAGATCCTTCACCAAACAACCAAAGATTGATTTGCTTACATGAGTTTTTACCAATTCTTTCCTTGGTGAAGAGGAAATACATGTTACTTTATATTTTCTGGATATGATTATGGTTTTATCAGTCTTTATGTTGCACTTATTCTCCATCCTAACACTATGTTAAGCTTTTATACAGAGTGACTCATTTAATCCTCATATAAACCCAACTTGGTAAAGACGATTATTCACATTTTATAATTAGAAGAGTGAGGCACAGAAATTTAGGTCACTTTCCCATTATTTCTTAACAGTTTACAGGGTTCCCTTTTCTCCACATCTTAACAACACTTGATATCTTATTTTTAATAATAGCCATCCTAACAGGTATTTGGTGATATATCGTGGTTTTCATTTTCATTTCCCTGATGATTAATGAGGTTAACCACATTTTCATATATATATTGGCCATTTATTTTTTTTTTGGAAAAATGTCTGTTTAGGTTCTTTTTTTATATAGAGTTATTTGTTTTGCTGTTTTGTTTTGTTTTGCTGATGAGTTCCTTTTATATTTTGGATATTAACTCCTTATCAAATATATAGCTTGAAATATTTTTCCCATTCATTAAGTTGCCTTTTTATCTTTCTGATTGTTTCCTTTGCTGTGCATAAGCTTTTTAGTTTGATACAATCCTACTTGTTTATTTTTTCTTTTATTGTCTGTGCTTGCTGCTTTTTAGTTTGATACAATCCTACTTGTTTATTTTTTTCTTTTATTGTCTGTGCTTGCTAAAATAAATGTCAAGGAACTTTTTCCTTATTTTTTCTTCTAAGAGTTTTATGGTTTCAGGTCTTACATTTAAGTCTTTAATCAACTTCAAGTTAATTTTAATGTATGGTGTGACATAAGAGTCTAATTTCAAGCCTTTGCATGTGGAAATCCAGTTTTAAATTTGCCACGAGGGTAAATATTATATTAAATGCTTTTACAACATACACAAGATAATAATAATTAATTGTAAAGAGGGCAGGAGGAAACATTGAGAGATATTGATACGTTTATCTTTTGCTTGTCTTGATGGTGGTGATAGATTCATAAGTGTATACTTACCCAAACTCATTGAATTGTTTACATTAAACATGTATAGCTTTCACATGTTAATTATACCTCAATAAAATGGTTTTAAAAAAAAACAAGAAAGTATGATCTGTTCAGTAGTACCACAAGAGATAAGGAGGAAAGAATGAGAATAGATAGAAGCCGATAGGTAGACCGGCCAAGAGAAGTTGAAACAGCTGCCCTCAGATAGCATCTCTTTACTGAAGAAAGGAGAAAATACCAGAATCTATTGAGGGAGGTTAATGTAATTGGGGTTGAGTGCACAAGTTTTGCAATAACACTGTGAAGACAAAGTGAGTTAACCAGATAAATTAGTAGAATTGATGAGCAAAATTCAGGGATAGTTTGAGATTAGACATCAGGATTTGGGATGATATGCCAATATCTGGCATTTTGTGGGATATTTATCTGCCAATGTTTATCTTATTCTGTGCAGGCAGGGACATTTTTGATCCCTTCCAAAGTGGGAGTGTTCTTAAATGACGATGAACAGAAAAGTATTCATTATTTTAGCAAGAAAGTTGTTGAAATAAGAGAACATGAATAGAAAAGAAAGAAAAGACAATATTGAAAATAGAGAAAATGAAGAATGAACTAGAATGCTATATTATGTTGAAATAGAGTGATGACCTTAGCTATCTGGAAAGCAGGAAATCATGATCAGATAGGGAAAAGTTTGACCAGGTAATTTGGCATTTGGAGTGATTATGAGTTGTAGATTGTGACCATCATGGTGGAGACTAAAGAGATTTGGAGGAGAAGTTTAAGAGAGGAAGAATTCAAAGGTCTGAGATATGAGATGGCTGGAATCATCCATGTGAATGCTGAAATCCGTTGAGTTAACTACCAAAATGGAAGTAGGCAAGATGAATTTGTTTCAGGAGACCCAATTTCAATGAATAAGAAGAAGTGACAGGAAAATGTTAGGGGAATAAATGTTCAGGTATGAGATGGTAGAGGAATATGTTGTGAGTTTCCCTGGAGCAGAGTTCAGAGGAGCAACGAAAGTAATAATCTGGAAATGATAAAGGGATTCTTGTGGTTCCCCACTTCTCCTCTAGTCTAGACCAGAGCTTCTTGAAGTAGGGAACAAAATAGTACCACATGAGTATGCTTTGAGGAAGTAATACCCACAAGAGACAGTCTCTAGAGGGATCTTCTGGATTCCATATTTATGTTTTTTCCCCATTCCTATTTTATGTTGATATAAAATAAATGACAATAACTACTATAATCAAGCAAGGTTGGTACTGGATCCTATCCATTCAGAAATTACTAATAGCCCTATGGTACTTGAGGAATAGATACTACTCAAATTATACTACACATGTTTTGCCACTTTTTAAACAAAAGTAATGAAGTTCATGTGATATAACACACACACACAAGAAGTTGCTCTTTATAGCAATTAATACTAACTTAAAATATTAAGGCTGTTTAGTTTTCTTCTTAGTTGCAAGATAAAGGGTAAACAAATTAAAATAATAGTCATGAATTCTAGATTGTAGCTGATCTGAATTCTATTTTATACTTACACATATGTATGCAAATGTGAATGTTTTTTCATATGCAATAAGACAAAAAGGTAGAATCCAAGTTGAAGACACTGGAGGCTTTGTACTCAATAATGAATATCTTAAGTTAGACACATCTTTTAACCACTTTTCTCTTTTTTTTAATTTTATTTATTTATTCCTGAGAAACGGAGAGAGAGAGAAAGAGAGAGGCAGAGACACAGGCAGGCTCTATGCAGGGAGCCTGATGTGGGACTCGATGCCAGGACTCGATGCCAGGACTCCACGATCACACCCTGGGCCAAAGGCAGGAACTAAACCGCTGAGCCACCCAGGGATCCCCCAGTAGCCACTTTTCAAGTGCAAGTGATTTATCTAGGAAGCAAAGAGAACATCTGCAGGAAATGGGGTGGGATAGGAGCCAAGAAAAGGAGTTAGTCAGTAAAGGTGTGATATCAAGATACCTTCCACTGTGGTTTATATCGCTTGATAAAAAGTCCTTTAAGATGGCCCAAAGTACCAATTACAAATTTGAAAAACCCTAATCACAGAATATCCAGTACTTATATAATGCCAGATGACATTCAGAAACTCACAAGACAGGACACTGGGTGGCTCAGTGGTTGAGCATCTGCTTTCAGCTCAAGGCGTGATCTCCCTTAGGAGCCTGCTTCTCCCTCTGCCTATGTTTCTGCCTCTCTCTGTGTGTCTCTCATGAATAAATAAACTCTTAAAAAAAAAAAGAAACCCACAAGACTAGCACTAGAGAAATGGAAATCAATCCTTTGAGCAATTGTAAATTTTTAAATGCTAAATATTATTATCTATTCAATATAAACTATAAATTCATGTTGATATAGGCCTACAAGTAATGTACATGAGGAATTACACATAAAAGAAGTAAGACTAATAAATAATTTTCTGATCACAGGCAAAACTAGCTTCAGTTCCATATAATACACTCCTCACTGAATTGGCAACTGCCCAAGAAGAAATCCTGACTGTACATAACACTCTCAGGAGAGGAGTAGTTCCATCAGCCAGCAACATGCTGAAGATGGTAAGATTAATTCAACAGCAACAACAATGTTAATAATAGCAATAGTATTTACTTACTTTTTATTAAGTTCTATTCACTTTCAGTATACTAAAAGCTTGATCTTCTCAAACAAACCTATGACTTAGCAGCAGAAGAAATGGAGACACAGAGGTGGTAAGGAACTCTCCCCAAATCACATAGTTGTTAAATGACAGAGCAACAATTCCAATTCAGGCAGTCCAACTGCATTTATAATTTACCCCAGGACAGTGCTTCTCAAACTTGAGCATACTAAGAATTACTTGAAGAACTTGTAAAGCACATTCCCCTGGGCCCCACCTTCTGAGATCCTGATTTGGAAAGTCTGGGGTGGAGACCACTACAAACTCCCAACTGAAGCTGCTGCTGCTGCCAGTATTGTCAGCATAGCAAGCTTTAAGTTAGAGAGGCAATTCATAACTGTCTTCATTGGGCATCCCAGAGGCTAGACACTCATCTGAGAATCAAAATGTCCAGATTCTAAGTCAGGTGGTGCTGTGGATAAACCAATATTGACAAACGTATTTCCCAATTCCCCTGCAGCCTATAAAAAGAGAGAATTATCTTTCAACTATAAACCTGGTGTGTTAGCAGACGAAGTGCTATAAAACAACAAATTTAGGAAAGTCTCAAGAGTACTATGTGATACACTGCATATATATTATCTCCCAGAAGAATCTCTCAGGTTTTTGGGCAACCTTATCCTAGTCCCTTTAACCTTGGACTGGCCTAGAAATAACACTGGCTCTGGAGAGTGATTCCCAGGGATAGCTTCCTCATGTAAATGATGAAGAGTGGGAAGCAAGTGAGTAAAAAAATTATTTTGAAATTTATCTCTTGGTGATCTTAAAATAGAAAAGGTTTTTGAAACAAAACAATATAAGTCAGTAGCTATCACAGGCCTTCTTGCATTGTGAGTGTTGGTACCTGATGTATGTATTGCACTTACAGTTGACAGGTGCTCTTTTAGAATCCCCAGCAGTGCAATTGCTGGATCATAGGGTAGCTCTATTTTTAACTCTTTGAGGAACCTCCACACAGTTTTCCAGAGTGGCTGCACCAGTTCACATTCCCACCAACAGTGCAAGAGGGTTCCCTTTTCTCCACATCCTCTCCAACATTTCTGTTATCTGTCTTCTTAATGTTCACCATTCTCACTAGTGTGAGGTGATATCTCATTGTGGCTTTGATTTGTATTTCCCTGACGGCAAGTGATGCAGAGCATTTTCTCATGTGCATGTTGGCCATGTCTATGTCTTCCTCTGTGAGATTTCTGTTCATGTCTTTGGCCCATTTCATGATTGGATTTTTTGTTTCTTCGGTGTTGAGTTTAATACATTCTTTACAGATCTTGGATACTAGCCCTTCATCTGATATGTCATTTGCAAATATCTTTTCCAATTCTGTAGGTTGTCTTTTGGTTTTGTTGACTGTTTCTTTTGCTGTGCAGAAGCTTTCGATCTTGATTAAGTTCCAATAATTCATTTTTGCTCTTGTTTCCCTTGCCTTCATAGATGTATCTTGCAAGATGTTGCTGTGACCAAGATCAAAAAGGGTGTTGCCTGTGTTCTCCTCTAGGATTTTGATGGAATCTTGTCTCACATTTAGATCTTTCCCCTTTTTGAGTTTATCTTTGTGTCTGGTGTAAGAGAATGGTCTAGGTTCATTCTTCTGCATGTGGCTGTCCAATTTCCCCAGCACCATTTATTGAAGAGACGGTCCTTTTTCCAGTGGATAGTCTTCTCTGCTTTGTCGAATAATAGTTGACCATAGAGTTGAGGGCCCAATTCTGGATTATCTATTCTGTTTTTGTGCCAGTACCACACTGTTTTGATGACCACATCTTTGTAGTAAAACTTGAAATCCAGCATGGTGATGCTCCGGGCTCTGGTTTTCTTCAATATTCCCCTGGCTATTCGGGATCTTTTCTGATTCCACACAAATCTTAAGATGATTTGTTCCAACTCTCTGAAGAAAGTCCATGGTATTTTGATAGGGATTGCATTAAATGTATAAATTGCCTTGGGTAGCATTGACATTTTCACAATATTAATTCTTCCAGTCCATGAACATGGAATGTTTTTGCATCTCTTTGTGTCTTCTTCAATTTCTTTCAGAAGGGTTCTGTAGTTTTTGGGGTATAGATCCTTTACCTCTCTGGTTAGGTTTATTCCTAGGTATCTTATGCTTTTGGGTGCAATTATAAATGGGGTTGATTCCTTAATTTCTCTTTCTTCAGTCTCATTGATAGTGTATAGAAATGCCACTGATTTCTGGGCATTGATTTTGTATCCTGCCATACTGCCGAATTGCTGTATCAGTTCTAGCAATCTTGGGGTGGAGTCTTTTGGGTTTTCTATGTACAGTATCATGTCATCTGCAAAGAGGGAGAGTTTGACTTCTTCTTTGCCAACTTGAATGCCTTTTATTTCTTTTTGTTGCCTGATTGCTGAGGCTAGGACTTCTAGCACTATGTTGAATAGCAGTGGTGAGAGTGGACATCCCTGTCGTGTTCCTGATCTTAGGGGAAAGGCTCCCAGTGTTTCCCCATTGAGAATGATATTTGCTGTGGGCTTTTCATAGATGGCTTTTAAGGTGCTGAGGAATGTTCCCTCTATCCCTACACTCTGAAGAGTTTTGATCAGGAATGGATGCTGTATTTTGTCCAATGCTTTCTCTGCATCTATTGAGAGGATCCTATGGTTCTTGTTTTTTCTCTTGTCGATATGATCTATCACGTTGATTGTTTTATGAATGCTAAACCAGCCTTGCATCATGGGGATAAGCCCCACTTGGTCATGGTGAATAATCTTCTTAATGTACTGTTGGGTCCTATTGGCCAGTATCTTGTTTAGATTTTTGCATCTATGTTCATCAGGGATATTGGTCAGCAATTACTCCTTTTTGGTGGGGTCTTTGTCTGGTTTTGGAATTAAGGTGATACTGACATCATAAAATGAGTTTGGAAGTATTCCGTCCCTTTCTATTTTGGAACAGCTTTAGTAGAATATGTATTGTTTCTTCTTTAAACGTTTGATAGAATTCCCCTGAGAAGCCATCTGGCCCTGGACTTTTGTGTATTGGGAAGTTTTTGATGACTGCTTCCATTTCCTCCCTGGTTATTGGCCTGGTCAGGTTTTCTCTTTATTCCTATTCCAGTTTTGGTAGTTTGTGGTTTTCCAGAAATGTATCCATTTCTTCTAGATTGCCTAATTTATAGGCGTATAGCTGTTCATAATATGTTTTTAAAATCATTTGTATTTCCTTGGTATTGGTATGATCTCTCCTTTTTCATTCTTGATTTTATTAATTAGTCTTTTCTCTTTTGTTTTTAATAAGGCTGGCAAATGGCTTATCTATCTTATTAATTCTTTCAAAGAACCAACTCCTGGTTTAGTTGATCTGTTCTACAGTTCTTCTGGTTTCTATTTCATTGAGTTCTGCTCGAATCTTTATTATCTCTCTTCTTCTGTTTGGTGTAGGTTTTATTTGCTTTTCTTTCTCCAGTTCCTTTAGGTGTGAGGTTAACTTGTGTATGTGAGTTTTCTAATTTTTTGAAGTTTTGAAGGATGCTTGTATTGCAATGTATTTCCCTCTTAGGACTGCTTTTGCTGTATCCCAAAGATTTTGAATGGTTGTATCTGCATTCACATCAGTTTCCATGAATCTTTTTAATTCTTCTCTAATTTCTGGATTGACCCTTTCATCTTTTAGCAGGATGCTCTTTAACCTCCACGTGTTTGAGTTTCTTCCAAATTTCTTCATGTGATTGAGTTCAAGTTTCAAAGCATTGTGGTCTGAAAATATGCAGGGGACAATCCCAGTCTGTTGGTACTCGTTGAGACCTGATTTGTGACCCAGTATGTGGTCTATTCTGGAGGAAGTTCCATGTGCACTTGAGAAGAATGTGTATTCAGTTGAATTTGGAGGTAAATCTGTAAATATCTGTGAAATCCATCTGGTCCAGTGTTTCATTTAAAGCCCTTGTTTCTTTGGCAATGTTGTGCTTAGAAGATCTGTCATTCGCAGAAAGCACCATGTTGAAGTCTCCCAGTATTAGTGTATTATTATCTAACTAAGTCTTTACTTTGGTATTAATTGATTGATATACTTGGCAGCTTCCACATTAGGAACATAAATATTTATTATTGTTAGGTCCTCTTGTTGGATAGATCCTTTAAGTATGATATAGTGTACCTCTTCATCTCTTAGTACAGTCTTTGAGATAAACTTTAATTTTTCTGATATGAGGATGGCTACACCTGCTTTCTTTTGAAGACCATTGGAATGGTAAATTGTTCTCCAACCTTTCGTTTTCAGGCTGGAGGTGTCCTTAGGTCTAAAATGAGTTTCTTATAGACAGGAAATAGATGGGTCTTGCTTTTTTATCCACTCTGAAACCCTGTGCCTTTTGATGGGATCGTTTAGCCCCTTCATGTTCAGATTTACTACTGAAAGATATGAATTTAGGGTCACCATAATACCTATTCAGTCCTTGTTTATGTAGATTATTTCTTTGGGTTTCCTCTTTCTTTTACAGGGTCCCCCTTAATATTTCTTGCAGACATGGTTTGGTGGTCACATATTCTTTCAGTTTCTGTCTATACTGGAAGCTGTTTATCCCTCCTTCTATTCTGAATGAGAGCCTTGCTGGATAAACTATTCTTGGCTGCATGTTCTTTTCATTTAGGACCCTGAATATAGCCTGCCAACCCTTTCTGGGCTGCCAGGTCCCTGTGGAGAGGTCTGCTGTTAATCTAATGCTTCTTCTCCCCATATAAGTTATGGATCTCTTGTCTCTTGCTGCTTTAAGGATTTTCTCTTTATCTTTGGAATTTGCAAGTTTCACTATTAAATGTTGACGTGTTGAACAGTTTTTATTGATTGTAGGTGAGTACCTCTCTATTTCCTGGATTTGAACCTATTTCCCTCCCCAAATTAGGGAAGTTCTCAGCTATGATTTGTTCAAATATGTTTTCTGGCCCTCTGGCCCTCCTGCTGCTCTCTGGAACCCCAATTATACGTAGATTTTTTTCCTTCTCAAGGTGTCATTTATTTCCCTTAACCTTTCCTCATGGTCTTTTGTTTTTCTCTTTTTTCCTCAGCTTTCTTCCTTGCCATCAACTTGTCTTCTATGGCACTCACTCTTTCTTCCTTCTCATTAACCCACATCATTAGGACCTCCAGTTTGGATTGCATCTTTTTTAATTGACTTTTAATTTTGGTCTCATTAGATCTAAATTCTGCAGTCATGAAGTCTCTTGATTCCTTTATGCTTTTTTCCAGAGCCACCAGTTGCTTTATAATTGTGCTTCTGAATTGGCTTTCTGACATTGAATTGTAATCGAAATTCTGTAACTCTGTGGCAGAGAGTACTGCTTCTGATTCTTTTGTGGTGAATTTTTCTTTCTAGTCATCTTGTTCACTCTTGTAGAGTGGCTGTATGAGTGGGCTGAATTAAGAGTATCAACCACAACCTATGTAAATTTTACCCTAGATGATTCTGACAAGGTCAGAGACCGGAAATTGAAAAACAAAGATCAGAATGAAATAAAACACAAAGACCACTAAAGTGAATAACAAATTTTACAACAAAGTAGTAAAAAATAAAAGGCCAAGAATCCTAAAGAAGAAGAAAAGAAAAAAGAAAGAAAAAGATAAAAGGAAAAAGAAGAAGAAAAAATGGGAGGCACTGGGAGATGGTGGTGGTGACAAAGTTGTAGTGGAGGGGAATGTAGTTTACCTGTGGGGTCCTACAGGGTGATCATCTTGGTTCTGAGTGTATTAAGTTCTGTATGTTAGAAGATGCTCAGTTGCAAATTTATATAAACCAGAAATACTTGTAGAAAGCCCCAACACTGACCACCAAAACCTAAATGAGATAAAAGAGGGGGGCAGAATGGGACTGAGGAATCTTACAGAATGAACCAGCACTGTATACCACTTGGTTCTGGGTGCATACTGGTCATGTTTTAGAAGATATTAACTTCCACCAGTGTAGAACAAAATGAGGCAGAGAAAACAAAAAACAAAACAAAACAACAACAACAAAAACATATATTGTATATCTCACAAAATTAAATTGGGTATATTAAAGGACTCTACAAGTGGAAAATATATCTAGGACCTGTAATCGTAGAAATATGAAAGTCAAAAAGGAAGAATCTTCAAAATAAAAAGCTGGTAAAATATTGTAGTAAGGTGGGAAAAGAAAAAAATTGGAAATTTATAGTCTGATATAAAAAGGAGTTGTACTGGAAAAAGGAAGAAAAAATAGGAGAAGTACCCTCTAGTTCTATATACTGTAAATCCCTCGACTTCCCCTGGAGCTTTCCAGCGCTGCTGGGTCCAGAACTTGCTCTTCCCCTGTCCTTCCAGCTGGTCTTCTGGGGGAGGGGCTGCTGTGCTGACCCTCAGATGTGTGCACCTGGGGGAGCTGCCCTTCCCCCCACTGGGTGCCAGGCTCAGTGGGAGCTGGTTACCCCTCATGGGTGCCCCCCACCCTCAGGGCACAGGGTGACACCAGGAGGAACAACCCCATGGCAGCGGCCAGCCCTCCAGCCCTCCAGCCCTGGAGTCAGCTCCTGCAGTAACTCCCGCAGCTCCCAGTCCGCAGGGGCCTGGATGCTCCGGGGCGGGGGAGCGCTGACCTGCACAGCTCGAGGACGCCCTTGGCAGGAGCGTCCTCACCGTCCCGTGTCCTCCCCGCTTCTGCCTGTCCCAGGGGGACCACAGGATCCTGGGCTGTGTCCCCCGCGCCTTTGGTCCAGGGCCTGCGCCACCGGCATCACTCCCGGGGCCGCGGCTTGAAGGCAGCAGGGCGCAGCCCCCTCCGCCTGGAGCCCCCCACCCCCTGCTTCTCCCCGAGGCCCTGCCAGGCGCTCCAGCCCTTTACCGCCCTGGGCCCCGGGATGTGGGGCCCTGTCCCCAGGGCACCTCCTCTGTTAGTGACCCCAGGAGGCTGGGGGCCCCACCGCCCTTTGGTCCTGCCCGGGTTCCCAGCTGAGCACCTTTCCCTCCGGGAAGAGTCCGGTGCGGATTGTTAAAGTTCCTGCTTCTCTGGGGCGGACTCTCCTGTCCTGGGCTCTCTTGTCCAGGGGCATTTAGATCTTTCATCCATTTTGAGTTTATCTTTGTGTCTAGTATAAAAGAATTGTCCAGGTTCATTCCTTTGCATGTGGCTGTCCAATTTCCCAGCACCATTTATTGAAGAGACTGTCCTTTTTCTAGTGGATCGTCTTTCCTGCTTTGTCAAATATTAGTTGACCATAAAGTTGAGGGTCCGCTTCTGGATTCTTTATTTTGTTCCATTGATCTATGTGTCTGCTTTTGTGCCAGTACCACACTGTCTTGATGATCACAGCTTTGTAGTAAAACTTGAAATCCAGCATGGTGATGCCCCTGGCTCTGGTTTTCTTTTTCAATATTCCCCTAGCTATTCAGGGTCTTTTCTGATTCCACCAAAATCTTAAGATTTTGTTCCAACTCTGAAGAGTGTCCATGGTATTTTTATAGGGATTGCATTAAATGTGTAAATTGCCTGGGTAGCATTGACATTTTCACAATATTAATTCTTCCAGTCCATGAACATGGAATGTTTTTGCATCTCTTTGTGTCTTCCTCAATTTCTTTCAGAAGTGTTCTGTAGTTTTTGGAGTATAGATCCTTTACCTCTCTGGTTAGGTTTATTCCTAGGTATATTATGCTTTTCGGTGCAATTGTAAATGGGATTGACTCCTTAATTTCCTTTCTTCAGTTTCATTGTTAGTGTATAGAAATGCCACTGATTTCTGGGCATTGATTTTGTATCCTGCCACATTGCCGAATTGCTGTATAAGTTCTAGCAATCTTGGAGTGGAGTCTTTTGGATTTTCTATGTACAGTATCATGTCATCTACAAAGAGGGAGAGTTTGACTTCTCCTTCGCCAATTTGAATGCCTTTCTTTTTGTTGCCTGATTGCTGAGGCTAGGACTCTAGTACTATGTGTAAAAAAAAATAAAAAAAAGTGTCATCCAAACTTATTCTAAAGAGTAAATGAATGATTTGTGTCAAAGTCTGTAGTGAAAAAACAAAGTCTACAACTTTTATTGGTGATGTGTTGTATGCAGATAATTGGACAGTCTTTTAAGTGGATGTACACAATGTGTAGATTATAAAGTGTTAGGGAGAACATTTGTCAGTCCCAAAACTAGTGAGAAACACTTTCTGCCTTCCAACTTACTTGGGGATACACCTGACAAAATGCTTCAACTCAGCATAATTGACACACATTAAGAGTTAAGAGCACATATTATGAAGACAGAATAACCTAGATTCTCATTCTTCTGGGGGTTCTTATTGGTTGTGTTATCCTTAGAAATAATGCAACATCTCTCTGCCTCAGTTTCCCCATTTGCAAATGGAGCTAATAATAGTACTTCCCTTGTAGAGTTGCTGTGAGTCAAAATAAGAAAAATATACATACAGAATTGGTAACAGATGTTGGCATATGGTTTGAGCTACTATTTATTATTATTACTTATAATTTTATATGGAGATATGTGACACAATACATAGCCATTGTCTATTTATTGAGCACATAGTATAAGATTTGTCATATCACAGTTGCATTTCATGAATTATTACATTAAAACTTTAGAACAAACTATTAGGCATGAATGATGGGTCTCATTTCAAAAATAAGAAGAGATTCAAAAAGATTAAATAAAACTACTAATAAATAATGGAATGGATTTCCAACCCTGATCTGTTTTACTGAAAGCATTTACTTAAACTCTTTCACACTTCTGAGAATGTATATATGAATGTTATTATCAGATTTTGATTTTGATTTTGTAAATTCAAAGGTTAACATAGTGAGTTAAAGGTTTTATCTTCCCCTTCCAATCAAGACATTTAATATTATTATTTAAATTGTTAGCTTATAAAATAGAGGATATTGCTAGCCATGGATTTTTAGAAAGAACAAACTAGAATACTGTAATGAAAATGCTAATAAGACCAAGTGCTTCTATTTTACTCTTCCACTGTAGAATTGGAGTGAAGAAGCTGCACAAAATGCCAGAGTGTTGTCAAAGCAGTGTGAATTAAGAGAGAGCAGCTCACTTAAGAGGCGAATTACAAGTAGGTATATGTCTACATGACTCACCTCCATACTCAAAAGTCCTTAAGGATATTAAGTAACCTGGCAAGGTAATTAAGTCATTCAGTCTATGACATGGCCCCATAAATAGCAGTGGATTGTGGCCCACTGAGCTCCTTTCTTGTTAATTTTTAAATTTGGGTATTCAAGTTTCAAATTCCAGATTCTGATTGTCAGAAACAAGAATCAAAGCTCTCAATATTACAGAATAGTTGAGTAATACAATGATAACTGGTGGACAACTGGATAACTAGAAGCTTTCCATTCTACATAGTTATTTCAGCTACACACAATATCACCCTAGGGTTATCTTTGGCTCTGAAATACTAATACAGTTGAAAGGTGAGTTCTATTCAACTCTACTGAGCTGTACATGAGAACGAAGGTGATCAAAAATGTGTCCATCTCATGGTATATATATTAGGTGGATCACTGTTAGTTTCCAGTAAAGCTATTAGTACCTCCTACACAAGGAGACATTATTAACGCTTATGGGATCCTTATTACAAAATATTTTTAAAATATTAATGAAACTTCCATATTTACAGGTTATTGGACATCTTTGCCCAATGTTGTTGACCCATGAATAAGCAGTGTGAGTTTTTCCTGCCCCAGAGAAAGGTAGATCATTCCTGAATACCATTTTTTATCAAGAACCCACATCACAAGTGGATGGCTAAATGAACAAATGTTTATTTTAAGGTCTTTGCATAATGAATACTTCTGTGTAGCTGTTTTCAAGTCACGGGTCCTGTTACAACCCATAGGCTACTTGGATGGGTTTCATCCTCCTCAACAGCTTGAAAGTGGCAGACACTGAAATGTTGACCTGATTTCCAAGTTTGCACATCATCTCTTGCTGTCAACTTCTTACCAAATTTATCACAAATTCACTCATCAATGAGAAAGATGAATGCCAGCAGAGACACAGCTGAGTTTGCTTTCTTTTATAAGACATTGCTAAAAAAATAAAAAAAGACATTGCTTGGATGACCAACGAAATATTTGTAAAATGAAAATGAACAAAATATCCTTGTAATATATTTCTAAGTTTCTTCGAGTATGATCCAGACTTTTTTCTCCCTTTCAGATACTTTTTGTGGAGAAAACATGCATATGACAACTTATCCTATCTCATGGTCAAATGTAATTAAAATCTGGCACAATGAATCTAAATATTTCAAGTATGGGGAATGGACACCAATGGACAGTGACATTGAGCATTATACTCAGCATTATACTCAGGTAACCTGCAGTAACATTGAGCATTATACTCAGGTAACCTGCATACTTGCAAATATACACATTGTTTAAGTGGCTATAAGTATGCATGGGAAATAGGTGGCTGAGAAAATCATTCTACCCACTTATCACAAACTTACACTTGACCCACTGAGTTTCTGTTATAATTTGGAACACAAGAAAATGTGATTCCCTCAATAGATGACTTGGAAAAGCTGCTTAACTGTTTAGTCTTCTTTATAAATTTGGACTTTGGGGAATTAACAAAATCATAAAACATCAATGTCACTTATAAATTGCATTTAAATCTTTGTAAAGAATGAAAACAATAGTACCTTATAATACAGAGAATCCTCTACATTTTTTGTTTGTTATTGTGGTAAGATTATATGTATATATGCATAAAACATATACACAAATTATTTTAATGTACATATCTATCACTATATAACACACAATAATTATTTATATATGTATATATGAATATGCTTTATAAAATTTGCCATTTTAATCATTTTAAAATTATGTAGCATTAATGTTCAGTAGCACTAACTACATTCAAATTGTTATGCAGCAATCACCACCACATATCTTCAGATCTTTTCACCTTCCCAAACTAAAACTCTCTACCCATTAGACAATGACTTCTCATCCACCCCACTGCTCTGGCAATCATCATTCTATTGTCTGTGTCTATGAATTTGATTACTCTAGATACTTCATATAACTGGAATCATACAATTTTTGTCCTTCTGTCTCTGCCTTATTTCACTTAGCATTATATCCTCATTTGATGTTCATCCATCTTTCACATATGTCAAAATTTTATTCCTTTTTAAGGCTGAGTAATATTCCACTGTATATGTATGACACTTGTTGTTTACCTATTCATCCACTGATGGATATTTAGGTTGTTTCCACCTTTTGACTGTTGATAATAATGCTGTTATGAACATTGGTGTGCAAACATCTGTTCAAATCCTGCTTTCAATTTTATGAGTATATACCAGAAGTAGAATTGCTAGATCATATGGTAATTCTGTTTAATTATTTGATGAATGGGCATACTGTCTTTCACAACAACTGTATTATTTAACATCTCCAACAGCAATGAAATTTCTGATTTCTTCACATCCATGCTGTATTGGTCTGCTTGGACTTCCATAACAGAATATCATAGGCTGGGTGGATCAAACAACAGAAATTTATTTTCTCACAGTTCTGGAGCCTGGAAGTCTGTGAACTTCTGCAGCATAGTTTTGTGTTTTTCTCTTCCTGTCTTCTTTTCACTATGTCCTTTCATGAAACTTTATTTCCTTTCCTCTGTGCATGCTTGCAGAGAGAGAGAGAAAGAGTGAGAGCATGAGTGCCAGCACTCTGGTGCCTTTTCTTATAAAGACAAGAATCCTATCAGATCATGGCCCCACTCTTATGATTTCATTTAACCTGAATTACTTCCATAGAGGTTCCATCTCCAATTAGAGTTGCTGGTTTGTATCGAGTTGTTTGGATTTTTGTTATTGAGTTGTAAAAGGTCTTTATATATTCTAGGTATCTATGCTTTAGTAGGCATATGATTTGCAAACATTAATTCCTAGTACATAGACTGCATATTCACTCTAATGATAGTATCCTATGAAGCAGAAAGGTTTTAAATTTTGATAAAGTCCAATTTATCAATGTATTTTTGTCTTTTCTGTCTACTTTTGGCATCATATGCAAGAAATCACTGCCAAATTCAATATCATGTTGTGTTTTCCTTATGTTTACTTCCAAGAGTTTTTTATGGTTTCAGCTCTTACACTTAGGTGTTTGATCCATTTTGAGGTTTTTTTTTCTTATATGGTGGAAGGTAAGATCTAACTTCATTTATCTTCATGTTAACATCTAGTTTTTCCAACTGTATTTGTGGTAAGACTGTCCTGTTCACAGTGGATTGTCTTAGCACCCCTGTTGAAAGTCTTTTGACCATATTTATGAAAATTTATTTCTGGGCTCTAGTTTATTTCCTAGATTTATGTTTATTGTCCAGTACCACTGTTTTAATTACTATAGTTTTGTGTTAAGGCTATTAGAAAGCATACAACGTCCAGCTTTGTTCTGCTTTTTCAAGACTATTTGCCTAGTTAAAAATCATATTTATGGACATCAATGCAAATGTTCTAAATAAAAGACTAGCAAATAGCATTCTTATTGTACAAAAAGATACATTCTAGGAATCCAAGAATGCTATAAAATTTCTATTCATGTAATTTACCTTATCAAACAGTGGATAAAAATAAAATGATCACCCAAAGAGATAAAAATCTGACAAATTTGTAACTTCAATTCCTACTGTTTACTTCTTTTAGATAATGATGGACTAACCCCACTATTTACGACCAGACCATTTGTTCCATCACATTAAGATGGTAACTTAATATTTCTGCTTCTAAACACCTAAAAAATTTATTATTCAATTTCCACAATACATCTAGGATGTAGAAGATAGTATTATTTTATTCCATTTTGCAAATTAGAAAAAAAGAAATTTCAAAACATAAAGTAAATTGGTAAGTACCATACAACCTGTAAGTGATAGAGATAGAATTTGAACCTGAGTTCTTTAGCCTCGATGGCCAACTCTTAACTCTATACCATGCCTATTCTCTGATTGAGTAAAGTTCCTCCCATGCTTTGATTCTTATATAATCACCAAGCAGCTTTCATCATGTTACCTGATTTTTCATATAGATTTGATAATAGAATCAACCAGGATCAAGGACAGCCAATAAGTGTACATATATGTGTGTGTTATCCAGACACATGGAAATCTTTGTTTCTAGGACTTCCTAATAAGCCATGTTTAAGGCATCCTAAAAACAAGCATGTTTATTTTCAACCCCGGATAACAATATTCATATTGTAATCATTTAGCAAAAGTCAAATTATTAATTAAATATTCTCTTTATCATTACAGGTTGTTTGGGCCACTTCTTATCTCATTGGCTGCGGAATATCATCATGCCCCAAAAGAAAGTTGACTCAGTATCTCTATATTTGTCACTATTGTCATGAGTATGTATTATGCAGCTTGGTTTTTCACAAAGCCTTTAGAAATACATCTTTCTTCATAACTCAGTTTCTCAATCCATATAAAAGAAAACTCAAATAAATATTTCACTTCAGTTAAGCAGAACTTTAGAGATAAATGTCATTTAGCCAATACCTAAAATCGTTACACACACACACGCAAATTTTTGTTATATTTTTAAATAAATTTATATTTCATTAATAGAATGTCTAAATTCAAAGTTATTGCCAGTAGTCTTGCTTTGTGCTATTAGTCAGCATAAGCAAAGAAACAAGGATATTTATTTCAACAATTCAAGAGTATATTTAGAATGCTAGAGCAGAAATACTGTGGAGTATTAAGACTAAACAAACAGAAAAATTGAAGTGTTCTTGTATTTAGCTTTTTAGTCTAACTATTGGTATATGTCTTTTCCTTAGACATTAAATTTACATGTTATCAAGATATGAGTAACAACTTCTAGAAGAGATCATCTGATTGTTTCAGTGAAGAGCAAGTGGACTCTTTTACCCTATCAACTGTGGTTATATAATAAGATCAATTTCAGATAAAGGTGATTGCAGAAGCCCACAAGAGCACACTGTGTGATCCAGTAGTAATGATGAGAAATTAGAGATTGTTCAGAGCTGGATATAGTCCCATAATAATTCACTACAAATGCCTGTTTAAATATACTCTGCTAAGGAAAGTTAATGAATAGTCTGCATATGTGTCCTTCAGCTATCTGTACTTAAAGAGTTCAATATGCAAATTTTTCATAATAATATGAGCTCCAAACATGACACTTAACTACTATCCCCCATGTGTGTTGCAAAACAAAAGATAGTCAATATGAATCAGTTAAAATTATTTATCTGTTAATATGCTGCATATTTATACATTAAATGAGGTCTGTTGTATTAGAATAGATTCAATAGATATATTTATATAATACTTCTAGATATTTTCTGATCTTATCATTTCTTGATTTTAGTAGTTAGTATTTTTTATTATTTTATCTATACAATTAGTACTGAAGACAGTAAAATCTCTTTGCATCCACAACACATCAGTTGTACTAAATCCTGGTGGTGGTCTCTGGTGAACTGACAATTACACAAAAGTAAAACATACATGGAGCTGTGATAGGAGAATTTTCTACAGCAAAGATAAGGTTAAGTGTCTGACAAAATCCCTTAATGAATTAACTAATATATTTCTTTTATAGAGTGAAACTTTGGGCACCTGGCTGGCTCAGTTGTAGAGCATATGGCTCTTGATCTCAGATCCATGAGTTCAAGCCCCACATTGGACATAAAACTTACTCCAAAAAATAAAAATAATAATAATAATGAAGGGAAAAAAATAAAGTGAAATACTAAGAATTCAGATATCAAATGGAAAAATATCAACTAGAATACCGTTTTAACCAAAACATTTACCTTATTTTTCAAGCATATTAAGTAAGAATAAGCTATAATCCATATTGTTTTCTTAGATATCTGCAGGTAAGACTGTCATCTCTGAATTTCATATTAGCTTAGAACTAGAAATTCTCATCTACTCTCTCCCCCTCAACTCTACCACTTTAGATTTAGCCATACTGAGGGTTTTTCATCTTTTATAATGCTCCATGTGTTTCTGAATGAGAGTAACATGTATCGTTTCTCATGATATCATACAAAATGAAATAGAACATCTCCAACTTGACTCACTTAAAATTTTCTTAGCATGACTGCCTACCAAGTTCCTATGGGCATAAATAAAGAAAAATGGGTATAAATAAAGAAAAATGACCAATTATCAACAAGCTCTTCTGCTTGTTAAGACCTGACTGTTCATAGGTACCAATCCTGTTAAAACTTAACTCTCTGAATAGGGTAAATTCTTTCAAAACATTTTCAAAACCCACTGTTGCCTGTTATACATTCAAAAAAGATAAATTGCCATCGTTGCAAGTCTAGAAATCTTAAAGCTATCTTAAAGATTATCATCATTATCTAGAAGTGGTTTTCAAAAATTGTTTTTAAAGTTGATTAGAAATAGTAAGTAAAATTTTATATTCATTGTCCAAGTATCAATTTTATTATATCACTTTTTCTTATATTATTTTTTTTATTATTTTAAGGGGAAATGATCCTGCCAAAAGGAATGAACCTTATAATGCAGGAAGTCCATGTGGAGACTGCCCAAATGACTGTGAAAATAAACTTTGTAGTAAGTTTTACATTCAATTTGCTTAATATAGACCATTGACCCAGGAACCATGTATCCTTCAAATTAAGCAATTGAAAATATTTCACTTTTCTATAACTTTTTCTGATTCATCACACAGGAAAGGTCAACATTATTTCTTACCTCGCCTCCCTGAATTACCAAGGTGATTAAATCTATTGGAATGGATATTAGAATGTTTAGGCCAAAACTCAGCTTACCACCACCACCACCCAAAGTTTAATGACACTCATAGGAAAAACCCGGATAAGATGTTAATATAAGCATACATTTTACTCTGCTCTATTAAAAAGTTTCTGGGCTCTCTATTGCAGCCCTGAAATTAGAAATATTGTTTTCAGGATATCAGTGTTTTCAGCTTACTTGCTGCTCCATAACTCCTCTACCTTCCTAACCACTTTTTAGGGCATATAATTTATTACTGAGTGACCCTTATTCTTCTATGTTCCTACTGACAAATCGGAAGATATTGGCTGATGGTCACACTGTCCCCTTACAGCATTTCCTTTTATTTCTTAAATAAATCTAACTACAATGTAGTATTACTCAAATGAATTCCAATTACATGTTCATTCTACTAGATCATGAAAGTTCCTTTTCAGAGCTTCCTGAAAACATAATTCCTAATCCCTGAGTATAAATTTGATAAAATAATTTTCAATAAGTTTGTAGAGAAATAACTAACCCAGGAAAAATACCCTTTAACTTCAGGCTTGGAAAGCCAGAAGACTTATTTTCCTACACCTGACCAAGTCAGTCTGTTTATTCTTAAAGTAAAGAAAATAGATTTTCTTTCTCAAATTACCTCTCTCTAGATAAATAGATAGATATGTAAATGCATGGATAAATAGATATTCTTCTTTTTAAATCTCCTTTATTCTTTTGCTTTCTTTTCTTTCCCTTACTTTCAACTTCACTTTTTGCACCCCACTTCTGAAAAGAACTGTAGCTGGAGAAAAATAAAATATCTACTAACTATCTATGCTGGGTTAATGGGGTAGGTTTTTAAAATCCAAGATATAAAAGCAATGTCTATAGTGGTATAAAAAATGTAATAGAAGTAAAATCAGAATAGGAAAGAGAAAGTATTACTCAAGATGATTAAATCTGTGACATAAAGATGCATATCTTAAACTTTTTGCCCATATCTATAAATGCATGAGAAGAGAAATATTTTTTAAAATCTCCAATTTGTTCACACTGGAATGGAGACAATGCTAAAAGCATAAGACCTAAATGTGCAGACATAAGCAGCTTAGTGTAATTCAAATAAATTTTATAAAAACAAAATTTATATTATAAAATAGGGGAATTATATATAAATATAATTACATATAAATTATAAATTTATATATAAATTACATATAAATTAATAAATTATATATAAATATCATTATATGTAAATATCATTACAGATAAATGACATAGAAAAATCTTTAGCTTTAGTCACACCTATAAAAAGAAGAAGTGGAAGAGGAAGAGGAAGAAGGAGAAGAAGAAGAAGAAGAAGAAGAAAGGAAAAGAGAGAGTAAAGGACTCATTAAAAAGAAGACATTACAACTGATACATGCAAACAAAAAGGGGCATAGGAGTATGCTATGAACAATTGTATGGCAACAAATTGAACAACTAATTGGAAGAAATACACTAAAGTTAAAAATAGACAACTTACAAAGACTAAACTATGAAGAAATAAACATAAAACCCACCAAGATTGAATCATGAATAAATGGGAAATCTGAACAGACTAAGTACTAGTAAGGATATTGAATCAATAATCAAAATCCTCCCAACTAAGAAAAGCCCAGGACCAGATGGCTTCACCAGTGAATTCTACCAAACATTTAAAGAAGAATTAATACTAATAGTTTTAAAACTCCTCCAAAAAATAGGAAAGAGAGGAACACTTCCAAACTCATTTCATGAGGCCAACATTACCCTGATACTCATGTCAGACAATTACACTGCAATAAAAATTAATTACAGGCCAATATATCTGATGAACATAGATGCAAAACTCTCAATAAAATTTAGCAAACCAACTGCACCAATACATTGAAAAGATCATACAATCAAGTGGAATTTATTCTAAGGATGCAAGACTGGCTCAACATCCACAAATCAGACAATGTGAAGAATAAAAATCATATAGTTATCTTAATAGATACAGAAAAGCATTTGACAAAATTTGACATTCTTTCATGATAAAAGCTCTCAAATTTGGCACACAAGGAACTTACTTAACATTGTAAAGGTCAGATATGAGAAGCCCACAACAAACACCATATTCATGATGAAAAGTGAAAAGATTTCTAAGGGCCTGGACAAGACAAGAATGCCTACCCTTACCATTTTAATTCAACATAGTATTGGAAGTCCTAACCAGAGTAATTAGGCAAGAAAAATAAATACAAGTAACTAAAATCAGAAAGGAAGAACTAAAAGAGACTCTACTTGCAGATGACATGATAGTACATATAGAATACCGTAAAAACTCCACCAGAAAATTATTGGAATTAATAACTGAATTCAGTAAAATTCCAGGATATAGAATCAATATACACAAATGATTTTTATGTGAACTACCAACAGACTATCAGAAAAATAATTTTTTAGAAAATCCTAGTTGTAATTGCATCAAAAAGAAAAAATATATCTAAGAATAAATTTCACCAAGGCAATGAAAGATCTATATACTGAAAATTATAAGATATGGGTGAAAAATAAGAAGATACAAATAAATGGAAATATATTCCATGCTCATGGATTGGAAGAAATTATATTTTTTTAATGTCCGTACTACCCAAAGCTATCTACAGATTCAGTGCAATCACTACCAAACTCCAAATGGCATTTTTGATAGAACTAGAATAAATACTCCTAAAATTTGTATGGAACAACAAAAGACCCCAACTAGCCAAAGAAATCTTGAGAGAGAAGAATAAAGCTAGTGATATCACACTTCTTGATTTCAAACTGTATTACAAAGCTACATATAGTCATCAAAATAGTATGGTATTAGCATAAAAACAGACACATAGATTAATGGAACAGAATGGAGAGCCCAGAAATAAACCAATGCATATATGGTCAATTAATTTATAACAAAGAAGCCAAATACATACAAAGGGAAAAGACAGTCTCTTCAATAAAAATGAGACCACATCTAACTAAAAAGCTTCTGTACAGCAAAGAAAACCATCAACAAAATTAAATGACATCCCATTGAATGGGAGAAAATATTTGCAAATCATATGTCTGATAAGATGTTAATCTCCAAAATATATAAAGAACTTATAAAGCCTAATAAAAAATCCAATTAGAATATTGGCAGAACTAAACTGATATTTTTCCAAAGAAGACATCCATACAGCCAACAGTTACATGAAAAAGTGCTTAATATCATTGATCATCAGGGAAGTGCAGGGATATACCACATATTCGTTAGAATAGCTATCATCAAAAAAGAGATAAGTGGGGGTGTCGGGGTGATGAAAAGGAAATCCTTGTGCAATGCTGATGGGAATGTAAATGGGTACAGTCACTATAGGAAGCTGTTTGGAGCCTCCTCAAAAATTAAAAATATAACAGTCATATGATCCAGCAATTCTACTTCTGGATATCTATCTGAAGAAAATAAAAACATTAATTCAAAGAGATATTTAAACCTCTATGCTCAGTGCAGCATTACTTACAATAGCTTAGGCATGGAAACATAGTCCGTTGGCAGATGAGTGGATAAAGAAAATATGATATACATGTATATGATATATATACTATGTATACTGCTCAGCAATAAGACAAATGGAAATCTTATCATTTATGACATCATGGATGGATCTTGAAGGCATTATTCTAAGTGAAATAAGTCAGATATAGAAAAACAGACACCGTATGATCTCACTTATATGTGGCTAAAAAAGAAAAAAAAACTCAGATACAGAAAACAGATTGCTAGTTTTCAGAAGCACAGAGGGATAATTCCTTTTATGTCTTTAAGGAGATTATCTCTTTCTTCAGCAATGGTGAATTTTTGAGATAATATTTTGTAAACATGTTTTTTCCTTCCAGCTAACCCCTGCCTCTACTATGATGAATACAGTAACTGTCAGATACAAAAACGTAGTTTCGGATGCAGCGCACAGTCAGTTCAACAATTCTGCAAAGCTAGTTGTCTCTGTGACAAGAAGATAAAGTAATCTTTGTTATTTGCAACTATCATGTGCTTTTGGGAAAATGTCTATTGGATTACATCTTTTACCTTACTTTGCTTCAATAGCTTCTGCTAAGTTTCATTTGGTTTCAATTATACTTGAGATCCTAAATTTTTCTAATCATATATGGGCATCAATAGATTTACATCAATACCACCCACTCCTATCCTGACACTTCCTGAAACACTATTTTATTTATTTTTTTATTTTATTTTTTAAAAGATTTTTTTAATTTTTATTTTTATAATAAATTTATTTTTTATTGGTGTTCAATTTGCCAATATACAGTATAACCCCCAGTGCTCATCCTGTCAAGTGCCCCCCTCAGTGCCCGTCACCCATTCACCCCCTCCCACACTCCTCCCCTTCCACCACCCCTAGTTTGTTTCCCAGAGTTAGGAGTCTTTATGTTCTGTCTCCCTTTCTGATATTTCCCACACATTTCTTCTCCCTCCCCTTATATTCCCTTTCATTATTATTTATATTCCCCAAATGAATGAGAACATATAATGTTTGTCCTTCTCCGATTGACTTACTTCACTCAGCATAATACCCTCCAGTACCATTTGCTTCAACTATTTTAAACTTCCTTACTCCAGAAGTGAAATGTCCAGTTCAACACCTGCCTCATGTTAAAATCATGTGATTTGTAGCTCTCAGGTTGACAAAATTCAACTGATGGTATAAATGGCCACCTTGGCAAGGACCTCTGTAAGAGGAGGATCTATTTGTCCCTGTTAACTCCTTCTCCTACTTTCCTGTGTCTCCAATCCCCATAATGTTTGTCTTACCAGCCTGGCTAATATGCAGTGTAATTCTTTATTTCATAACTTTACTTCTATTTTAAATTGATCATTAAAATTATTCACAAAGCAAACAAAAAGTCAAGTCTTATTACTTGCAAGTCTTATTATTTGCTTAATTGGAGGTGTTTAAATGCCTTATTATTTCATCAGTATGTCTATAAACATTTGTGAAGTGGGAGGAAAATTGTGTTCCTTAATTTAACAAAATGTGTTTTCAGCACTGATAACATACAAAATGTAACATATATGTAGAGGATATTGTCTCCTTTATTTCAAATGAAGATTTAAATATCAGTGAATCTGAACATAAAAGAGAGGACAATATAGTTCTGACATCAGAAAAATACAAAGAAAACATCAGGAAGTAATGAAGGAATGAATTCATCTAAGTGGTAAAGTAGAAAGGTAGGAGAGATCATATGATAGATTAAGTGCACAGTGAAACTGTACATTGCAAAGGGCAAAAGGGAGCTGAGCTCTTCCAGGAACAATGCACAGGTCATAGTAATAAGCTGATAGAATTAGCAGCAGTTAATTAAAGGAACAGGACTAGAACTGAAAAGACAAACACAACAGCCAGGCAGAGGTTTTTTGTTTTGTTGTTGTTTGTTTAAGGAAAAAAACTCAATGCATAGGGTTAGGATATGATAAAATAGAACCACTCATTAAGACCAGAATTTATGTCTTACTACAACTGTGCTAAACATGGGTGTATCACCTAAATATGAGTATCATGCTAACATTAACAGAGGTAATATCTAGAGATCTTTTTTAAAGATATGTGAACTGTAAACTATATAATCCATATTGCAGGTAATTTGCCCAATAAGATAATCAGACTCTGGTAAAGATTAGCATGCATAATGTTTCCTGGGGGAAGATCTCCAGTTTTATATCTCCTTGTGGAGGTACTGAGAGAAGCAAGATTGGAGAAGATGAGTTAGGATGGAGTCAGAGACCTAACAGCCCCCACAACAAGATACACAAAAATATATATTGCTTGCCATTTACAGTTTCCATATTAACCTGTCTTGAATGTGGATTTTCCCAAGGAAAGGATTGCTTATGGTAAGTCCAATTTTAAGAGAAAATCGACAGTAGAGCTATTTGCGGTCAGGACTTCCAGCTGCTGGGGGAGTGAGTCTTTCAGTGCAGAAAGGGACCTGGGTAATGTATCGTAGCATGCGCACATGCATCATCTTTGAGTTAGGCTGATAAATTCAGATCTAAGCATTTGATAACCCAGCCGTAATGGGCAAGATTTCCTTACTAGTAAGTACATTAGTATTATTACTCCCAGGAGATCTTAACCCTGGAGGAGGTGTGTTCTCTCATCTGTACTTTTCGGTTACATATAACCTTGACAGAAATATGTCTTTTTGTACAAAATAAGTAAATGCTGCAAAATCATGTTAGTACTCTGTGTCGGGCTATTGAGTAATTCATCTCATGACAAAATATTCCATAACATGATGGGTAATCCTGGAACTGAGCACAAGATGGCAGCATACACATATGATAGCTACATTTTTATTTGACGCCAAGGAAAATAATTAAGCTCTATTAGTTGAATATCCTAAACTTATTCTAAAGAGTAGATGGATGATTTACAAAAAAAAGCTGATAGTAAAAACAACCTCCACACTTGTTGGCAGTCTGCTACCATCCTTCAAGGGGACATACGCAATGAGGGGATGAGAGTGTTAGAGAGATGATTTGTCCCACACCTTCTGGTAAAGGGTTTCTACCTTTCATCTTACCTCTAGAGTAGCTGCTGCTGGGACACCTGGGTGGCTCAGAGGTTGAGCGTCTGCCTTCAGCCCAGGGCATGATCCTGGAGTCTGAGGATTGAGTCCCACATCAGGCTCCCTGCATGGAGCCTGCTCCTCCCTCTCCCTGTGTCTCTGCCTCTCTCTCTGTGTCTCTCATGAATAAATAAGTAAAATCTTAAAAAAAAAAAAAAAGCTATTCCTGACACCCACCTGATAACATCTGTGACTCCATTTCCTCATTTGCAAATGGAGATAATAATACTGGCACCTCCCTTGTAGAGTTACTGTGAGGGTATAGTAAGAGGAGAAAATATCTATTGAATCTATAACAGACCCTGGTATGTTGTATTAGTTATTAACTTTTATTACACACAATTTCCCAGTAAGATGCCTGATACTACACTTAATTCTAATCTAAACTGTAATTTATTGATTGTGCATGTAGAACAAGAGTTAGCATATTACAGTTGTATCACGCAGGGTATCTCATTAAATATTTGGAAAAAAATGGGGATGTGAATAAATGGATCACACAGATGCAGAAACTGAGTACAAAGAGACTAAATATTAACATGTTTGAGGTTAATAAATGACTAGGATGGATTTTTTAAAATTATTTATTTGAAAGAAAAAGAGAGAGAGAGAGAGCACAAGCAGGGGGAGCGGCAGCCAGAGGGAGAGCGAGAAGCAGGCTCCCTGCTCAGCCCTGCACTTGACTCAGGGCTGGATCCCAGGACTCCAGGAACATGACCTGAACCAAAGAACAGACACTTAACTGAATGAGTCACCCAGATATCCCAGCAAGGATGGATTTCTAACCCTCAAAAACCCAGAAGATTTTTGCTTTTACAGAAAAACAAAACAAAAATAGCATTCAGTATTCTTTTTTCATTAACCTTTTTGAGGCAGTGCCGACCTGGAGCAGCTCCAAGCTCCTTCCCAGGAAGAAACTCAGCATCTCCACATCAAGCTACCATATCTCTGAACTGTTTATGAGCATCTGGGCTTTATCTCCATTTATTTTGTACATCCATTAGCAAGGTGCATCCTAAGGTATCAGGAAATTCTAGGAGGCTCTTTTTTAGATCTGGGATTGCTCAAAAATTTTTCCACATAAATTAATGGTAATGTTTCCTCCTTTTACACTATTTCTGCTTATGATAGTTTTGTAGAAACTCTCTACTTTCAGATATCAGGAGAAATCTGTATTGTTAGCACTGGATTTTTAGGGAGAAGAAAAACCCTAGAATCTTATGAAAATATTAACAAGACTGCTTGTTTTTTGCTCTTTTACTGCAGAATCAATTGAAAATGCATAAAATTGGGGATCCCTGGGTGGCGCAGCGATTTGGCGCCTGCCTTTGGCCCAGGGCGCGATCCTGAAGACCCGGGATCGAATCCCACGTCGGGCTCCCGGTGCATGGAGCCTGCTTCTCCCTCTGCCTGTGTCTCTGGCGCTCTCTCTCTCTCTCTCTCTCTCTCTCTCTCTGTGTGTGTGTGTGACTATCATAAATAAAAAAAATAAAAAAAAGAAAATGCATAAAATTCTAAAATACTGTCAAAGCAATGTGAGAACAACACAAAGAAGTGGCAAACTATTACTAAGTGTATGTCATTTGAGCCAAGTTTGTGTTCAGAAACTACCAGGAATTATCTACCAGGAATTAATTAAGTCACATGGCAATGATGATGACGTCAGCCATCCAGTCTATATTTGCCTCTGCACCCATTTATGACAGTGAATGTGACCTAATACACTGTTTCATGAAATTTTTTAAAGATTTATTTATTTATTTATTTATTTATTTATTTATTTATTTATGATAGACACACACAGAGAGAGAGAGAGAGAGAGAGAGAGAGAGAGAGGCAGAGACACAGGCAAAGGGAGAAGCAGGCTCCATGTCGGGAGCCGGTTGCGGGACTCGATCCCGGGACTCCAGGATCGCCCCCTGGGCCAAAGGCAGGCGCCAAACTGCTGAGTCACCCAGGGATCCCCCTCATGAAATTTTTTCAACCTGAGTATTTAAATTTTATAGATCTTGATCACCAAGAGAAAAGAATCTAAAAGAAAAAGCTAAAAATTATAGAACACTTGAAAAATACAATGATGACAAGATTGAGGACAGATAGATGGTAGATTTCCACTCTGGGTAATTTTCTCAACTGCAGAGATTTCTTTTGCTTTGGTAAATATGTGTTATGCAACCATACTAAAAGCTGGCCATAAGAACAATTTTCATTGATGTAAAATGACTCCATCTCATGGTGATACAATGACCACATAAAAATAGATGTTTGCTGCTTATTTCCAGAAAAGTCATCATTAGCATTTAGCACATTTATGGCTTTCCCACTGCTTCATTTACCCACCTTGTAAATACATAGAAAAAAAATGAACTCTTAC